AAGCTAGAGTAGAACTGTCCCTAAGGTTTCTAACGATGTAAATTTTTATGGAAGCAGACAGCCTCATCAGTCTCCCGTTGAGTGGCTGGTGGGTTTGAACCACCAACCTTGTAATCTGCAGCCCAACAGCTAACCCCCAGTTCCATCAAGGTGATAGAGAACAGGTTGGAATCCAGCCTGCCTGGAGAGTACATGTCCAACACCTCTTTTCTTGTATTTTCCAGTTGGTTTCCAGCACTCAGGAGCCTGACTGGCATGGGGAGGAAGGTACCCACCTTGGTCACAGTGGATCCCATATTTGCCCTCGGTGCAGGTCTCACAGGCCGTCCCATTGAAGCCCTCTCCACATTCACATATTCCTGTGCCATTCACTCCATCCAAGCAGATTCCATTTCCAAAGCAGACGTTCCCGGCTGTCCCTGGGCAGACTTGGCACTGGGGACCGAAGAAGCCTGCACAGCATTCTCTTGTCTGAAATGGAAGCATAGAGTGTGATTTACACACCTCCGTGATGTTTTTGTCCACCTCTGTGTAGAAGCCCTGCTTCTGTGACTCAGTGTGTGTCCTGGTCTGTGATCCCACATGGTGGGGTGGTGGGAGACTCCTGGGGGCTGGGGGAGGCTAAACCATTTCCAGGGGTGCTATAGACTGGACTGAGGCTTCTGCTGGAGGGTAGGAAAGAGGGAAAGGACAAAGGTAAGTAACAGAATAGAGAGGCAGCAGAAACAAACTAAATGGATAATGCTGGAAAAGCAGGGGACCAAGGAACCCGTCCTATTCCCACCCTTGGGCCCCTCAGTGTCCTGTGTTGTTTCATCTAGTAGTCACCTCTGCAGGGGACACCTTGGCGTGTTAGGAATGAGTCAGAGATGTCCTGGATGATGTGCTTGGTTTGGGCCTAACCTTATTCCTGAGTGCATTAAAACACAGTCTCCTGCAGTCCCAAACTTTGCAGCTCAGAAGCTAATGGATCTGGCTTCTAGCAGGATGTTGTTGTTAGGTGCCCTCAAGTCAGCTCTGACTCATAGCAACACTGAGTCCAACAGAAGGAAACACTGCCTGGTCCTGTGCCATCTTCAGAGTTGTTACTGTGCTGAGCTCACTGTTGCAGTCTCTATGTCAATCCATCTCACTGAGGAACTTTCTCTTTATTGCTGATTCTCTACTTTACCAAGCAGGATGTCCTTCTCCAGGAACTGCTCCCTCCTGATAACATGTCCAAAGTATGTGAGACAAAGTCTCGCCACCCTTGCTACTAAGGCTGTACTTCTTTAAAGACAGATCTGTTTGTTTTCTGACAGTCCATGAAATTATTCAATATTCTTTGCCAACACCACGATTGTTACTGTTATTAAGTGCTGTCACATTGGTTCTGACTCACAGCAACTCTGTAGAGGGTTTCTGAGGAGCATCTTGTGGGTTTGAACCACTGACCTTATGGTTAGCAGTTCAGTGCATATCCTACAGTGCCACATGGTGGAATGGTAGGCATGGGTGAGGGACCCAGGACAAGAAGTTATAAAGAAAGCCCTTTCCTGAGGAGCCTGAAGTCATGGAACAGAGCCACCAGCTTCTTGACTTTTTCCTTAGAGATTTGACCACTTTCTATCTCTTGCTTAATGTACCAGACTGCAAAGCTGTTTGAACTGCAAGGTTGGTGGTTCAAGCTCACCAGCTGCTCCTTGGAAACCCTATAGAGGGGCTCCATGAGTCAGAGCTTGCTTGATGGCACTCAACCACCCAAGAATACCTATTGAGTCCTGGTGTGGCGTTGTGGGTTAATGCACTGGACTGCAAAGTCGGTTTGAACTGCAAGGTCAGCGATTCAAGCTCACCAGCTGCTCCTCAAAAACCCTATACAGGGTCGCTATGGGTTGGAACCGACTCAACGGCACTTCACAACAACAAGCATGCTCCCAGTACTGCCCTCTTATGAAGACAGGAAGTTCTCTTAGCGTCTCAAGCCCCCCTATTTCTTTTCTTTTTTTAAAAAACTTTTTACTGTGAATTAAGTGAAGGTTTATAGAACAGATCATCAGCCCTACAGTCAACAAATCACACACTTGGTGGCATTACGATGATTGCAATCCACTCCACGTGCCATCAGTTAACAGTGGTTGTTGTCGTTGTTGTAGTTATGTGCTGTGGAGTCGGTTCTGACTCAGTGAGCCTGTACAGGGTTTCCGAGGCTGTAAATCTTTATGGCAACAGAAAGCCTCATCTTTCTCCCAGGGAACAGCTGGTAGTTTCGAACTCCTGACTGTGAGATTAGCAGCCTGATTTGTAATGTGATTACATGCTGTGGAGTCGGTTCCTACTCACAGCGACCCTGCATAGGGTTTCTGAGCCTGGGTGCAGAAAGCCTCATCTTTCTCCTGTGGAATGGCTGGTAATATCTACCTCTATTCACTTTATTATTTTTTCCCTTCTGCCTCTTGCCCTGGCTGCCCTGTAACCACTATAGAATGTTCATGTAACAGGAAAATCTTTTCTTAACTCTTTACAACAGTTCAACCCACCAATTTCTTCCTCATGCAAATAAATGTTCCTGTTGCTTGTACCCAGTTCTGAGTTTTCTGACTGCCACTATGACTTTGTGTGCTAATGAAGATCACCAGGAGGGAGAGAAGGAGGCAGAATAAACACAGGCAAAGGCGTTTGGAAAATATAACACATGATTACATCTTGCAGTACTGCTGCAGTAATTAGGAGGATTATTAAATCATTATACTCACAATTACAGTTTTTACACATTTTGGCTGGCACCCAATGAACGGCGATCGCTTTCCCAAGAAATAAAGGGTATAGATACATCTCTTAATCTCATCACCCTATGAAACAGTAATGATTATATCAGTTTTGTTGGTTAAGATAAAAACATATATTTTTTTTTTCAATTTTTTAAAAGCAAGTTGGTGGGTGATGTGCTACTGTGTCTCCAAGGAAAAGGTTGTTCTATGGAGAGTGACAGCTTTCTGGTACTTCTTTTCCAGAAAGAAATCAAAACACAATGTTAATTGTCAGGATAAGCACTGCAGCATAAACACTGGACGGCTAACAGTAAAGTCAGTGGTTTAAACCCACCTGGAAAAATCCAAATAATTATACCTTATGGTTCAAGCTCACGAGTTGCTCCTCAGAAACTGTATATAGGGTGGCTTTGAGTCAGAACTGACTCCACGACACTTAACAACAATAACAACAAAGGTGGTCCTGGAGTCCCTGCGTGTGCAAATGGTTAAGTGCTGGGCTACTTACAGAAAGGTGGATGGTTTGCACCCACCCATGATGCCTCAAAAGCAAAGTCTTGTAAGTACTTCTGGAAAGTCAGCCATTGAGAAGTGTCCGGAACACAGCTCTACTCTGACACCTGGTGTCACCATGAGTTGAAATTGACTTGATGGCAACTTGTTTGGTTATTGTCAAGTGCCATCAAGTTGGTTCTGACTCATAGAAACCCTGCATAGGGTCTCCAAGGAATAATAGCTGGTGGGTTTAAACTACCAACCTTGTGGCTAGCAGTCCAGTGCTTATCCAAGAGCACCACTCTATAAGAACAACTTTTCTCTAGAAGACTAATGTAAGCTAAGCCGAATCAAAGAGTAAACCCAGTAAAAAGTTCCTTCCCGAGGTGTACATTGATTGACTTGAAACTTGTTTTTTATTTATTGATTGATTTGTTCAGGAAATTATTAAAAAGACTGCTTACCAAGACATATAATATACATGATTAAATTTCAAGTGTAAATCAGCATTTAGTCTTGTGCTAAATTACTATGGGATGGGCAGGAATATTTATCCTTTATAGTGGTGGGAGCATTATTATTAGGATTTGCATTTGTAATAAATAGCTATAAGAAAATAGATCAAGAATTACTTAAAAAGATGGGTCGATTTCACTCATGGCTACAATCTGTTTCCTTAGAGGAAGTTGGTTGTAACTTCAATTCTAAGAACAAATCAGTCAGGGAGAATTCATTCAAGCTGAATATGGTTTGGAATATGGAGTTTATCTTCTCTGATAAAGACCTCTTGCTGCTGTCCTCACTGACTATAAGGATATGAAAGATGTAGAAAGTGAAAAACCCATTTCTGCTATGTGCACTGGTTGTTATGAGCCAGGTTTTTATTGATTTATTCAGTAAATTTTGCTTTGGTACATAAAAACAATAGTAACAACAACAATGACAGAAAGTGTTCAAGACTGTATTCAAAGATTTATACAATATAACAAGTTACAATTACATTAAGACCAAATAAAGGGATTGGGATAGTAAAAATGAGGTATGCTTAAGATTCATTTTCTAAATTGGATCTCCCTTGGATCTGAAAACTTTGATCAAAGTGGACAAAATACTTACGAGTGGTTTAGTTCCAAATGGGCAGATTGGTGCCTGGGAACACTTCCCACACTTGCCCTTGGTAAACAGAGGCAAAGAAGACAAATCAACAGTGAAATTGATTTCATTTCAGTACAAAATGAGGCTGTTGGTAGTTTCCAGATCTTGCAGCTAAAAGATTTAGGATGTGAAACTGAAAATTGGAAAGATATTGGGGAAGACAATCTGGTCAACCTCTTTCATGGTCTTTGAGGCAAGCACTTCACCTACCATAGATTTCAGGTCTTGGATGTTTGAGCATCGTTTTTCTCCATAATACTCTTCGGAGCCTAATAGCCCTTTATACAGTGTAGAGTTCTTATCTTGTTTAAATCCTCAGTCCCTGAACGACTATACTTATTGACTGAAATCTGCTATTTATTGACTTGGGCCAGATTCAGACTATGAAGATGTGTTACATATGGTACCCAGCCTGAAGGAGTGCATGGTTCAATTGAGGGGTGCTGGGTGAAGACAGCCCACAGAGATACTATTACAAGACAAAGGAGCACAAAAGAATGATAGAAACTCTTAAGTGCAACTTGTTTCTAAAATAGGAGAAAGCTAATATGTCTCGGTCTTAATTTGGTACCTACTGGACAATAGAAAAGCCCTGGTGATGCAGTGGGCTAAATGCTGAGCTACTGACTACAAGGCTAGTGGTTCAAATCTACCAGCTGCTCTGAGACTGAAAGATGAGGCTATCTGTTCCCATAAAGATTCACAGTCTTAGAAACCCTAAGGAGCAGGTCTACTCTGCCCTATTGTTGTTAAGTGCCATCGAATTGATTCTGACCCATAGCGACCCTGTCGAGGGTTTCTGAAGAACAGCTGGTGAAATTGAACCATCAACTTTGTGGTTCAAACTGACTTTGCAGTCCAGCACACTAACCCACAGCGCCACACCAGGACTCTGCCTTATGGGGTTACTGTAAGTTGGAATGGTCTTGATGGCAGTGAGTTTTTTGGGCTGAAAAGTAGCCTCTTTAGAGTTCTGGTTCTGGGGCCAGGCTGGCTGTGAAGTCTCTATGCCTCATTTTTTCCAATCTGTAAAATGTAACTACTTCATACGGTGTGAGAATGACATGAGTTAACACCTGTAAAATGCCTGGTACTAAAGAGTTCCCAGTGCCTGTCAGTAGTTATCATATGGCTGTGTTGTACTATGATTTCACTGGAATGAAAAGTCATATTGGAGTCTAGGGATACTTTGCAGGTTATTCTCTTGACCACAAACATATCACTTTATCTTGTTGCTATTAAGGACTGTCGAGTTCGTTCTGAATCATACTGACCCTATATAGGGTTCTAAGCAGTGGCTGGAGGGTTTGAACCACTGACCTTGCAGTTAGCAGTCCACTGCTTATTCTACAGCACCACCCTAGGATGCCTCACTGTATCATTGTTGTTGTTGCATGCCATTGAGTTAGAACCCTACATAGGGTTTCTGAGGAGTGGTTGGTGGGTTTGAACTGCTGAACTTGTGGTTAGCAGTCTAGTACTTATCCTACAGCACCACACAAGGACTTCACTTTATCTTCGTGGTGGTATGCTGTTGAGTTGGTTCCAACTCATGGCGACCCTGTATAGGGTTTCTGAGGCTATAAATATTTATGGGAGCAGAAAGCCTCATCTTTCTCCTGTGGAACAACTGGTAGTTTTCAACTGCTGACCTTGAAGCTAGCAGCCTGACTCATAACCACTATGCAGAGCTCCTTCCACTTTATCTTGTTGTTGTTGTTGTTGTTATGTGCCGTAGGGTCTGAGACCCATCAGTGTCTCTTTGCCCAGCTGATGGCAACACCCATCATGCTTCCTCTAACTTTTTCAGAATTTTCTTTTTGTACAAAGAAAGAGGTTTATTTTACTGAGATGGGGGTAGAAGAGAGTGATCAAGATATGCATCTATAATTCCCCTTTAGCCATGTCCCAAGAAAGAGGAGGGAGCAGATAGCCCCTCTTGGAGTTCAGCAAGAAAGGCAAAATGCCCAACTCCATGAAGGACCCATAGTATGTATCAGTTGGACCCCCACATTTTTATGTGCTTCCTCTGCGTAGAACATTCCTTTCTTCTTTACTTGGTCTATCCCTACTTCTCCTTTAGTAACACCCTAGGGAGCCATGTTGTAGTCCTCCAGCTGGGTGAAGCATGATTCCTCTGTGTCCCTTAGCATATAATAACTGCTCAGTAAACATCAGTGCTTGTCATTACTGAAAGATCCAAAGCCATCCCTTTTCACTGGAGTTAAAAGCCTTCATTAGTGCATCCTATATTTCACTGAAGTAATCAATTTCCATATTTCCTCCTAGGAGACTGATGCCTTCCATTGGTTCACCATATTCTGCTTGCTATGCCTGTACAAGATATGGTCCAATTACCTCATGTGACAGGTCTTGCTTCAGAATCCTGCTCAACACAACCCTCCAGGTAGCCTTTCCCAGGCACTCAAGATACAACCTATTGCATGGTGGTGCTGTAGGATAAGCACTGGGCTGCTAACCATAAGGTTGGTGGTTCAAGTCTACCAGCAGCTCCTTGAAAACCCTCTAAAGGGTCCCTATGAGTTAGAACTGACTCAATGTTGTTGTCATATGACAACAACAACAACATGGAGGGTAGGTTTCATGTCATAAATGTCTTTGTAGAGCCACAGACTGGTATGCTCTTTAGCACATGAAAGATACTGATTCAGTTATTTTTTTAATTTAAAAAATAATAAAAAGCAATCCAACATTATTTAGCTACATCATTGACCTTGGTTGTAACTTACTTGAACAATTGTAGTGTCATTAGTATCACATCTATTTTTCTGAATTTCCAGAACTTTCTCCAAGCCATGGATCACTCCCTTGTCAGTGGCTGCATTGGTGTAGTTTATGTGAACCTCATTTACATAGATCTGTGAACAAGAGGATTAAATGTGAATTTTTATTATAATGATTTTAAGGGGCTGGGAAGATGGGGATTGGAGGATACCAACATGAAAACAGCCTAATGAATGCCGTTGCCACCATCTAACTATGTAACCTTGGGCTAGTTGCTTCTCCTTTTGGAGCTTCAATTTTTTTCTTTAGTATAAAGATGGCGGTTGTAGTTATCTCTAAGGTTTCTCTTGAATCATGATCATTATCTTAATGCCTATTGGAAAGGTGGTCCCATGAACATGCTGAGTTGTGCTGTAAACTGGGGTCCCAGTGGTGATAATATTTCCCCAAACCAAGACATGGAGAATGAATCTCATTACCTTTTTAGAATGTCTCTACTCTGTGGTTAATTTGAAAGCAGTCCTTAGAAAAGCTACCTGACAGTTATATAAGAATAAAATAACTAGCATTAGAGTTTGTAAAATCTCTGTGATCAAGACAGTGTGACATGATTTCCCAGTACGGAGTCTCCATTACCCTGTGTTTCCCTCAGGGCTCTGTTGGAATGCATGGTACGTTTGGTTCTACCTTCCCCTAGTAAGTCAGTAAGAGTCTAATATGGGGTCTATGTCAGTATCAAAATTCTGCCAACTCACATTTTAGTTTTGAGTTGTAATTTGTTTTGTTTTGATTTTTTAAGGCAGGAATACCTTATGAGAAATTAATGCAAAATAATGAACCCATTAATTCATTCCTTAATATAACTGGGAGAAGCATTTCTTTGAAAAGTTGGGCTCTGTTGATCTAGCACTGCTGAGGTTGGGAGTGTTGGGGCAAGCTATTGTACTAAGCAGATACAATGTTAGTATCCAGTAAGAGCTAAACATTTAAAAATAACAGCCCCAACATACTCCACTGCAACAAGATTCAAGTGACTCTAATGTGAAAAGAGACTCTGAATCTTGCTCTCCAGTGCACAGATGCTAAAGCAAATGGAGTAAGTGAGGAGATATGTGAGCCGAACAGAATTTTTCAAAGGCCAGCTGGAGAAGACAAAGTCAAATATTATAACAAAATGTGCAAAGACCTGAAGTTAGAAAACCAAAAGGGAAGAACATTCTCATCAATTCTCAAGCTGAGTAAACTGAAGAAAAAATTCAAGCCTCAAGTTAAGATATTGAAGGATTCTATGGGCAAAATATTGAGTGATGCAGAAAGCATCAAAAGAAGACAGAAGAAATACAGTGAGTCACTGTACCAAAAAGAAATGGTCGATGTTCAACCATTTCTAGAGGGGGCATATAATCAAGATCCAAGGATCCTGAAGGGAGAAGTCCAAGGTACATTGAAGGCATGGGAATTGATGGAGTGCCAATTGAAATCTTTCAACAAACTGATATGGCACTGGAGGCACTCACTCATGTAAGCCAAGAAATTTGGAAGACGATTACCTAGCTAACTGACTGGAAGAGATCCATATTTGTGCCCATTCCAGAGACATGATCCAATGGAATGTAGAAATTATTGGACAGTATCACTGATATCCTACACAAGTGAAGTTTTAGTAGATAGAGATAGTGCAAAGATGGCTGCAAACATAAACTGACAGAGAACTTCCAGAGGTTCAAGCCAGATTCAGAAGAGGATGTGGAATAAGGGATATCATTGCTGACATCAGATGGATCTTGGCTGAAAGTAGAGAATACCAGAAAGATGTTTACTTGAGCTATATTGACTACGTAAAGGCTTTTTTTGATTGTGTGCATCATGACAAGCTATGGACAACACTGAGAAGAATTATGAGTATTCCGGAACACTTAATTTTGCTCATGAGGAACTTGTACATAGATAGACCAAGAGGCAGTTTTTTTTTTTTTTTTTTTTTTTTTTTTAACCAGATCAATGCAACACTGAATGATTTAAAATTAGGAAAGGTGTGTGCCAGGGTTGCATTCTTTCATCATTTTAATTCAATCTGTATGCTGAGCAAATAATCCAAGAAGCTGGATTATATAAAGAAAAATGTGGCATCAGGATAGAAAGAAGACTCATTAACAATCTGCGATGTGCAGATGACACAACCTTGTTTGCTGAAAGCCAAGAGGACTTAAACACTTACTGATGAAGATCAAAGACCACGGTCTTTGGTATGGGTTGCATCTCAATGTCAAGAAAACAAAAATCCTCACCACTGGACCAATAAACAACATACATATAAATGGAGAAAAGATTGAGGTTTTCAAAAACTTCATTTTGTTCAGATCAACCATCAATACTTATGGAAGCAGCAGTCAAGAAATCAAATGATGTATTGCATTAGGCAAATCTGTTGCACAAGACCTCTTTAAAATGTTGAGAAGCAAAGATGTCAGTTTGAGGACTAAGGTGCGCCTGACCCAAGCCATGGTATTTCCAATAACCTCAGATGCATGTGAAAGTTGCACAGTGAATAAAGGAGACTGTAGAAGAATTGATGCATTTGAGTTATGTTGTTGGAGGAGAATATTAAAAGTATCACGGACTGCCAAATGAACAAATGAATCTGTGTTGGAAGAAGTACAGCCAGAATGCTCCTTGGAAGCCAGGATGGCCTTCGTCACTCATATTTTGGACATAGTATCAGGAGGGACTAGTCCCTGGAGAAAGGATATTGTGTTAGGTAAAGTGGAGAATTAGAAAAAAAGAGGAAGATCCCCAGTGAGATGGATTGGCACAATGGCAGAAGCGATTGGCTCAGGTGTAGCAATGATTGTGAGGTTGTCCCAGGACCAGGCTGTGTTTCGTTCTGGTGTACATAGAGTCACTATGAGTTGGTACCGACTAGATGGCACCTAACAACAACAGCGTGCAACAGAACTGACTCAACAGCACGTACCAACAACAGTGTATGTAATATTGTAGTAAACACTAGGCAGTCCCTAGTGTTTACTTGGAGTCACATGTATTTCCACTTGGATATTGGGGTAAGTTATGACTGAGCTCCATAAAGATGTTCCAGGGTCTGTGTGCATTTGGAAAATAGACACACACTTTATTGGTGGTGTCATATGGTGATTATAATATAAATTTTCCAGACTTTCAAGATGATGAGCTTTTTAAAATACGATAGCAGAACTTTTGATGCTGTAAAACTGCTGATTTGACATTAAAAAAAATCTGAATCACCCAGAGAATTATGGACTGCCTTAAAATTTTGATTTAAATTTAAGTCTATTCCTGTAGAAAAAATTTCTACACCTCCCTCCATTTTTTAAAGAGAAAGTAAATGAGTACCAATAAAACAAAGCCTTTATTATAAGTATAATTATTGACCTACACCCAAGAATTTTCAAGCAAATAGAAAATGAACTTGGCAGTACTGAAAATGATTCAACTATGCATCTCCATATGATGAAATAAAAGACAGATAAAATGAAAACAAAATGAAAGGCATCAATAATAAAATTGCCATTCCTGTAGAAAAGAAGAAAATGTATTTTAAATGATTTTCTTAAAGTTACTAGTACGCAATAATCTGAACACAGTTACATTTAAAATACATTAAAAATGGAGTCTAATTTTTTTTTTTTTGCATGAATTCTCAACACATAAAGATATAGGTATGCCAAAGCAATACTGGATGACACAGGTCTAGTGGTAAGTTGGCCCTAAGACTGCAATCTCTACGATCAGTGAAATTTGATGATAGTAATATTAATTCACTTGGCTGCTCAGTCCTTTGTATGTCATTAGGTTCCTTAGGCCCTGAATTCCCTCTTCTTGGGAGTGTAGTTGGTCATTTCAGGCTTCCTTCCCTCTTAGAGATGTCATGCGGACTGTGTTGGATTTATCATACCACTGACTGCTAGGATTTCAATACCTTAAATTTCATAAGGTTACTCTGATTATGTGAAGGCTGTCAACAGGGAAGATGAATGGGACTTGACAATGTAGTTTGGTCACCACTTTATGGTAAAGCAGCCTCTTTTGTATAAGGCTTAGGAAGCAGTGGTGAGATTATCCCAGCACAGCAATTGTGCTGGATAATGTGGAAGCAAAGACTCTCACTGTTTTAGAGGAGTGGGGTTTAAAGAAAGCAAGTGTACCTGGTCCTTGTGGATAGAGAAGCCAAGGAGGTGGGAGAAACCAAGCAGAGTCTCCCGGTGCATGCCGTTGTGCAGGTCATTCTTCAGGAGTTTCTCTTCCAGGACCACGTGGTACTTGACAACATCCTCATTCTGGACAAAACACCAAACTGAAAGTCAGCCAGTCATGTAACAGGTTTGGCCAAAATACCAGGCATTTATTGAACTAGAAGCTTTGCTTGAGACACCAGGACACAACAGATATCAAATGCCAAAATAATTTTTGAAACAGATCACCTGGGAGAATTTACACATTTTCTAAGCAGAATTGTCAAAAACTTGTTAGATGACTCTAAGTCTCACACTAAGGGTATGAGAGTTTGGAAGGAGAATATAAAGACTATTTATTATTAATTGATTTTTATAGAATTGAGGATGAATAGAGAGGTCCTATACCCCAGCCTGCCTTTCATCTCAAGGGTCACGAGAGGAGGAGGCTCAATGGGACGTTTTCAAGAATTTGGTCTGTGTACCTTGCAGATTGGGTGAAATGTGGACTTGGGTTTGATTCAAGTGTGTCAAATCTTGTAATTCGCAGATGACTGGCAAGTTGTTTGGTCTCAGAGTGAGGAAAGTTGTTGCGCACTGGGGTAGGCCTGCATCCCGGAAGTTAGTGTGGACAAGAGCATGTGTGTGCCTCCTGAGGATCAGCTGTATGCCACAGCTGAGCGCACTGGTGCTGTGGGTGTTATCCAAGATGGCTGACTAGAAGGGTGGACAGACTTTTCCAGAGGAAATAATGGATATGAACTCTGGATTCTTCAGGTTTGAGGAAGAAATAAGTGACTGTAGGCATAGAGTACTTTCACGTAAGGTCAAAGAACAAGTCAGAGGTCATAGATGATGTGTGGCATCTCCAAACAGCTCAAGGAAGTGTCCAGGAGACAGAGTAAGCATTAGTGCTTATGAATCGGGGTGCTAACCTCAGGGTCAGCAGTTTGAAACTACCAGCTGTTCCTCGAGAATAAGATGAAGCTCTCTTCTCCCAGCCTCGGCAACCCTACACAGGGTTGCTATGAGTTGGAACAGACTCCATGGCACATAACAACAACAACAAAAAGTCCCAGAAAGTGCAATGCCATAATATGACACCACCAGTCACATCAATACTTTTCCCATCTCTGGAGATCTGGATGGGGTTCAGGCTGCCACCTATGGTCTTAACATAATGCAGCCTCCTTCACTAGGCACGTTGTAGCCCCATTTTACGTATTCTAATCGGTTATAGGCAGAAGACGGACTTACAAGTTTTCTATGGTGATGTTTCTGGCTATTCCTTTCTCTCCCCCTCTAGTGTCTATTTTATAATATAATGCAAGGAAAACCAAGATTCAAAAGACAGCCAAGCATCTTAACATTATTCCCCCTTTTTCCCCATTCCAACCATGTCAGATCAATACTTTTCTGCCCTCTTAGTGTCTCTTCTGAACCACTGCCACTTCCTGTTCCTCAAGTTCAAACCTGGTGAAACCAACATTGCATTTCATGAAACAGGGCAGGGCGTGGAATCATATGGGGGAAACCCTATGGAGCACAGTTCTACTCTGACACATGTGGGGTCACCGTGAGCTGGAGTTGACTTGAAAACAACTAGGTTTTTATTTTCATTTGAACAAAGGCACTAATTGAGAAATGTCTTTGGTGTGTTCAGGATCTGTGAGATAACCACTCTGGTTAGATCACATGGTTTCTGCCGAAACTGGAGACCAGGTGGGAAATAGTGCTGAGCTCAAGGGTAGCTTAGAGGGAGGCACTCTAATTACCAGCTCTTATCTCATTAGCATCTTCATTTTAGCCACCCTTGTGTAAAGATATGGAGTCCTGGTGTGGCACTGTGGGTTAATATGCTGGACTGTAAAGTTGGTTTGGACCGCAAGGCCAGTGCTTCAAACTGAGCAGCTGCTCCTTGGAAACCCTGCATAGAGTCTCTATGAGTTGGAACTGACTCAATGACACTTAACAACAACAACAATATATAAAGATATAAGTGAAAATAATATGGTGGTCATACAATACAGCTCTCATGTTGGGGGGGCAGCCTTGGTGCCCTTCTGGTGCCAGTTTATAGAGTCAGTGATACTGCAGCCTTAAATGCTGGGGGAGGGGCAGTTTGGATTTAGTCCTTCAATAACTGGGGACTTGCTGAATTCTGAGCCAGAAACTGACAAGACTGAGGCTATTTATTATTTTACAAAACCCTTTGATAAAGTTTGGCTGTTTACCCCTGGATATCTGGAATCAGGAACGACAGAGAGAGAGAAAAGAAGAAGACAGAGAAGCTTTACTCCTCCTAAGTCCCTGCTTCTGATGACTCAGATGCCTGGGACCAGGGAGAAGCCAGGGAGGGAGAGGAGGTAGTTGGTCACTAGGTATTTTTTCTCCTAATGTGTCTTAATCTGTGAGTTCTGCTGGAACCTGTTTTAACATGAGAGCAATATGAAGATCATACCAGATTCCTGGGACATGTGCATGTGGAACCAAGTGTGAGTTCTCAATTGTGCAGCTCTGGCATAAGATCAGCATGTATTAGGGAGTCTCTTCTAGTGTGGATAAGCACTGAACTGTGAACCACAAGGTTGGTGGTTCAAATTTACCAGCTGTTCCTTGGAAACTCTATAGAGGATTGCTATCAGTTGGAACCGACTCAATGACACTAACAACAACAACAATGTATGTGTTTGAAACTGCTGGTGTGGCACTGTGGAAGAAGCATGGGACTGTGAACCACAGGTTGGTGGTTCAAACCTACCAGCTGTTCCTTGGAAATCCTGGCAGAAGCCATGCCATCAAGGAATGGAACGGCAAGAGACCCTAAACATGAAAAGCTCATTGTTTAGCAAAGCGACACTGAGTGTCTCCTCGGATGGCAAAGCCCCGAGGGGAACCTCATGCTGCAGCCTTGCAGTTCTTGTTTTTACCTTTTGTGCATGGCTCAATTTTGATCTTATTATAAGAAGTTCTTTAATAATTTTCTATATATTCAATTGATAATTAGCTATAATCATAGTAAAAATTAAGATTACATTTAGACACTCTCACACTAAATTTTAATCATGTAAAGTTATAATAGTTGCTTTTTACATCAACAATAAGTCTCACCATTAGGAAAAACCACATCAGGTAAAAGCTTTTCAAGTTTAAGATTATATCCTGCTTAGTAGACACTAAGGAACCTGAAAGAAACAATCTTACAATAGAGCAAGAGACATTGCGGCACCAGAAGATAGCAATGAGCCAATGAAGAGCTGTGGGAACACATAGAAATGTGGGTAGAAATTTAACTAAGAGGTTTTGGGAAATTATTAGTATAAGGGAATTGCTGCTTTGTTTTTGACTATGAAACTTTAGATACTTTTATATTCTTATTCTTAAATCTATTATAAATAACCGACATGTACAATAGTCATGGTAAAAATACTGTTGTGATTATGGATTGTGATTAATGAAGCTATAAGAAGTGGTTGTTGTTGTTAAGTGCCGTTGAGTTGTTCCCTCGAGTCGGTTCCGACCCATAGCGACCCTGAACAGGGTTTCTGAGGCTGTAAATCTTTAGATGAGAGTAAAAATGCAAGTTAAAATATAGAAGTTTACTTAAAAGTTGATTTGCCATTCTTGGGAGGATTAGCGAAGAACAAAAAGAGTTACGGAAATAAACCCAATGTTATCAGGATAATTAGGGGATGCAAAGGAACAGGATAGGATAAGAATTAAGGGAGTGTTCTGATGTTTCTTTTTTGTTCTAACCTGAATGTTTGTTGAACACAAAGAATGTAATATTTAGTTAAATTGTAATTGGTTATATAGAGTATATAAGAAGAAAAAAAACTTTTGAGTAATACAGAGAAGTCATCTGCCTAAATAAAGAGAAGTCATCATCATCTGCCTAAGACTCACAACCCATCAACTCTGTCTATGTGTGTGTGTTTTTCGCTGACTCCACATCCCCCTGCGAGAACCCCCTAATAATTTGACGAGGCTGGTCCCTGGCAAAATCCTATACAGGACTGCTATCAGTCGGAACTAACTCGATAACATTTAACAATAACAACAACGCATGGGTTTGAGACTCCTAGTATGGAGCTGTAGGATAAGCATTGGACTGCTAACTGAAAGGTTGGAGGTTCAAACCCACCAGCTGTTATTTGGAAACCCTATACAGGGTCGCTATGAGTCAGAACCAACTCAATGGCACTGAACAACAACATATGTGTTTGTGTGAAGTGTTTAATGAGCAAGTCTTGAGAAAAGAGTGAAACGGTATTTAACAGATGGCTTGACAATGTTGAATGCTTGCATTCTTAGAAAACAAGTTCCCTGATTAGCGTCCCCAATACCTACTAGAGTGGCAGCCTTCTTCTCCCTGATGTACCTCTCGATGGCGTTGTTGTTGGGAGCAAACACTGTGTAAGCATCGGCTGCCTCGATTGTACTAGCCAGGTTATAGTGCTGTGATGGAGAGAGACAAGAGTGTGTGAGGGGCTCTCCACTCCCAGGTCACCTGAGCAAGCTGGTCCTGCAGAGAACATGGTACTTACAATGATGTAGCTGCGGAAGATGGAATAGTCGGGCATCTGGTCCAGTCGGGTGAGCAGGTTTGGTAAGGAGCCAGTTAGGCTTCTTTGTGGAATCAGAACCTGGCAAAGGAAGCCCAAGAATTCTGTGAGCACATTTCTGTAGGACTTGCTGCTTGTCAATGCACACAAACATCCAAACATCCCGTTAATCTCTATAAATGGTCAAAAGAATTGACATTGAAGATGGTTTAAAGTTTACACACAAGCTAAAAGCATTCTTGGGTGCTGTTTGACAAGGCTGGAAGGTCCTGGAAGTTGTCATTAGTTCATTTAAAAAAAAAAAATGTTTTATTGTGAATTATGTGATAGTTTACATGGGAGAACATTGGTTTTACATTCATTCTATCGTATGTCATCTCATTGCCATGGTTACAATCTCCTCCATGCAATCCTTCCTCCCGTGCCCCCATGTCTTCAGCACACAGTCGCTCTCCCTCTCTGGATCTAAAGTCTCCAGCTGCTCTATCGCTCCACATCATCATCTCTGGCTCCATTTCAGGCATCACTGCTTCTCTGGGTAGGGTCCCGCTCTCTGCTCTTCTCCCTTGATGGTCCTAGGGACCTCCGCTCCTAGACTGAAAAGTTAATCACTCCCCTCTTTGCTATAAAACGTCCACCTTTACATTTCCAACCCTCACAATCAGTCCTGATAACAATTATTCACTATTGTATCACAAGAGACCCGTCTGCATTTCATTGCATCAGCTCCGCCTGTTCAGATTGAATACTATGCACTGGAGATTCTACCTTCCTCCAGGCCCTCTGGATCTAGGTTCCCTCTTGAAAACTTGTAAGCCAGTCACTTCTTGCCTTTGTAGCCCTCCACCCCCCATTTTGGGTAGCCAATGTCCAAGTTGCCCATCCCTGTCTACTCTGTGTGTGGAGGGGGTGGGAATGATTCTTGCTGTTAGGACTTGTTTCCTCTTTTGAGCTACTGCTTCCATAGGTGTAGATCAAGTTCATCAAATTCTATGAGAGTACTTTTTTTGTTTTTTCCTCTTCTTTTTACTTCTGGTTGAGCTCTGATACATTAGTTCATTTTTATGTCTAGCTGGGAAGTCCCCGATTGAGAAAAATCTCACCTTACAGAAAAGACTTTATGGTTCCCCTGCGGTAACCTATTCCAACTGTCACTTCTCTGCACTGTTGGAGAAAAAGAATACAAAACCCTCCACTGCTGTTGGATTGATGTCTCTTCATAGCAACCCTACAGGACTGAGTAGAACAGTGGGGCTTCCAAGGCCGTAATCTCTATGAAAGAAGAAGGCCACATTTCTCTCCCCTGTATAGTGGCTGGTAGGTTTGACATGCTTATCTTTGGTTAGCAACTAGCACTATAGCCACTGTGCCACTAGGGTTCAGGAAAGGCCCTATAAATCTAACTGAAATCCCACAGGCTGCAGCTTAGATCTGGCTTGCAAAAGGTTTTGCTTGATTCACACCAAACAAGTAAGCATAAAAGTAGAAAAATGTCATCTAAAAACCTAGTTTTCTGAGTTCTGCTTAAAAACATCAGTCTGTATTCCTGCAGGCAACACAGAGTGTGTAGCTGTAGTCCCCACTCCTCCTTAATGCCTTTTACTAGCTCCTCTCACTTATTCTGATCACCTGTCTGATCCATATAGGCAGATGAGTTTTCAAGCCCTGCATGGTTAACTGAAGGAACCTTGGTGGCGCTGTGGGTTAAGCACTGGGCTGCTCAACTGAAAGCTTGGTGGTTTGAACCCACCAGTCGCTCATCCCAAGAAAGATGAAGCAGGCTGCTCTTGTAAAGCTTTGCAGCCTTGGAAACACTATGGAGCAGTTCTGCTCGATCCTACAAGGTCATTAGGAATCAGAATCAACTGCATGGCAGTGGGGTTAGGGTGTAATTAACCTTCTGGACAACCTAACTGTTTCCATCTTCTCATTCTACAGAGAATCTTCTTAGATTGAAGAATCCAAAACTGATATGTTTTTCTAATTCAATCAGTCCTCAACCAACATTTATTGACTCCTGGTGATACAATGGTGGTTCAAGGTTGGTGGCTAATGGGGTCACTCTGATGGGGAAAAGATGTGGCAATCTGCTCCCATAAGGTTACAGCCTAGAAAACCCTGTGAGGGCAGTCCTACTCTGTCCTGTGAGTTGGGTCAATTCAACAGCACACAGCAACACCATTACAGGGCAAACAGGGGATATAGAAATATGATTAAGGTCTGGATCTGCTTTCAAGGGGCTGACGGTCATTAGAGGTCAGCAAACTTCAGCCCATGGGCCAAATTTAGTCTGCTGTCTGTATTTGAAAATAAAGTCCTATTTTCAAGTGGGGGTAGTGGCGGTGGTGGTAGTGTGCTGTGGACTCAGTTCCGACTCATAGCAATTCTTGGAATCCCTATACAGGGTCACTATGGGCCAGAATTGACTCAGTGGTGGCGGCGGTGGTGGTTATATGCCGTGGAGTCAGTTCTGACTCATAGCCACCCTTATGGGATTTCTAAGGCTGTAAATCTTTATGGGAGCAGAAAGTCTCATCTTTCTCTCGCGGAACCACTGGTAGTTTTGAACTGCTGATCTTGAGATTAACAGTCCAACTCATAACCACTACATATGCTCTCTTATAATACAAGGAGCTACCAGAGCTCCTAATATTATAAGGGAACATAGTTATACCAACTGAAGTACATACAAAACAATCCTATGGGATTCCAGAGGAAGAAGAAGGAAAAGGGACCCAACATTTTTTTTTTTTTTTTTTGTGAGGCCCTACAAGGCAAGGAGCTCTGGTAGCGTAGTGGTTACGAATCGGGCTGCGAACCTTAAGGTCAGCAGTTTGAAACTACCAGCTGCTCTGCGGGAGAAAGATAAGGCTTTCTACTCCCGTAAAGATTTACACCCTTGGAAACCCTGTATAGGGTCGCTATGGGTCGGAACCGACTCAACGGCACTTAACAACAACAACAACAAGGCAATAGCAGACCTGGTGTGGCACTGTGGGTTAATGCGTCAAACTGCAAAGCCGTTTGAACTGCAAGGTTGCCAGTTCAAGCTCACCAGCTGCTCCTCTGAAACCTTCTACATGGTCGTTATGGGTTGGAACTGACTTGATAGCACTGCACAACAGCAACAAACAAGGCAATAGACATGGAGATGAGTGGAATCATTTAATCCTAATGGGAAGAAAAATGATGCTCAGAGATGTTAGCTAAGTGCTTGAACCCAGACTCTATCTGACTGCAGAACTTATTCATTTGACATGTTGGATAAGTGATATGAACTATGGGGGTCAGGGTAGGCTCCAGAGAAGAGGTGGGACTTGAACTAGCTACTCTGGTAATAATATTCCATGTAGGAGATGGGTTGAGGTGCCATATTAACAAATATATTTGTGCCCATCACAAACTGTAAGTGAGAAGGAGAGGTGATGTATTTTATTTAAGGATTTTGTAGTACTTTGGAAGTCAGGATCAGAGAAGAAAAATACCTTTAACAAGTAATATTACTTTATATTCCATGAAGTCATAAAACTAGCAAAGTTGCTCATGGATGATGAATCATTTGCCCCAAAATGTTGTGTTTCTTAATGTATCTTGACAATAAAGGATGATGACAAGGCCTTTGCAAAAGAATGCACCCAGAGTCTGGTAAATAGCCCATTGTTGTCAGAAGTGAGAAAATTGACCTTTTCTTTAGCTTAAAATAAAAAAGGTGAGTAGTTAGAAAGTACAGAGTGAGAATAATTTTAGTTAAAATGCAATTGGTTAATTGTTTTTTTTACAATCCTTCACCTTCCAGATGTTCCCAATATACCCTAATTCTGATTTTAATTTTAAATGAAGATCTTAATATAGCAAACAGAAAATTATAGAGTAATTTTAAACTCCATTTTCCCCTAATCCTCTTTCCCCTACTTCATACCTTTGAATACTATGGAATTTGGTCTTAGAAGAAAATAGAATTCTTACAATGCTTTTTTCTGTCTTTTCCATTTTTTCCCCCTGGGATGTTCTTCAACCCTCTTTTTTAGATACAGTAATGAAGAGAAAGATGTGGACTGTGATCATTAACCATTTGCTTCTCCTCTAGTTCTTGCTTATACCTTATCTGTACATAAGTACTTTTCAAGACTAGCAAGGATCCTAATGTATCTTTTAAGATGTTTCCATAAATAAGAGAAACAATCATGAGGGAGCTTCAAAAAATTCATGGAAATATCGAATTGAAAGGTAATGGAATGTTCTCTTTAACTTTGTGAAGCCTTCTCATACATGTGACCACATTTAGTATAGAGCCTTTGTTGTTGTTGTTGTTAAGCGCTGTTGAGTCAATTCCGACCCATAGCAACCCTGTATAGGATTTCTGAGGAGCAGCTGGTAAGTTTGAACCACCAACCTTGCAGTTCAAATGGCTTTGCAGTTTGGTGTATTAACCCATAACACCACACCAGGACTATATAAAATAGGGCCTTTGTTGTTGTTCAGTGCCGTTGAGTCGATTCTGACCCATAGCCACCCTGTATAGGGTTTCTAAGGAGTAGCTGGTGAGCTTGAACTGCCGACCTTGCAGTTCAAATGGCTTTACAGTCTGGTGCATTAACCCACAGCACCACACCAGGACTCTATAATATAGAACCTTTAATAGCGTATAAAACCTGTGGTCATCAGGTCAATTACAAATTCATAGTGGCATTCAAGGACAGTCGCCCCACAGGACTTCCAAGGCTGGACTCTTTATGGAAGCAAATGGTCCCATCTTTCTTCTGCAGAGCAGCTAACTGATGACTTTGAACTACCAACCTTTCAGCTGGCCACCAAGCACTTAACCACTGTGTCCCTAGGATTCCTTTTGTAGAATATACCCACTATCATCGACTGAATTTTAACTCATAGCCACTCGAGAGGATGGAGAATTGCTCCTTAGGGTTGTTGTTGTTGTTGTTAAGTGCTATTGTGTCAATTCTAACCCATAGCCACCGTGTACAGGGTTTCCTAGGAATAGCTGGTGAGCTTGAACTGCTTATCTTGTGGTTCCAACCGACTTTGCAGTCCAGCTCATTAACCCATAGCGCCACACTGGAACTCCCCTCCTTAGGGTATCTAAGACTAAATCTTTACAAAGGCAGACAGCCTCATCTTTCTTCCACAGAGTGGCAGGTGGGTTTAAACCCTCAATCTTGAGGTTAGCAGCACAATACTTAACTCACAGAGCCACCAGGGTTTCATTTTGTAGCATATAGGCTGTGCAAATGATAACTGAGTCTAATTGAACGAATAGAGTCTCTAAACAGATTTAAAATAAAAGTAACAAAACACAACACAGCTCACTTTTATGTAAAGTTCAAGTCTCCCATTTCCCCCTAGGGAAGGACAGAAGAGAGAAGAGATAGATGCTACACATGTAGGCTGCTGGGATCGTGTACCTTGTTGATGACGTGGAGTACTCCATTTGTGGCTGCGTTGTCACCATCGACGATGGAAGCACCTTCAATGGTGATATTCTGGAAATGTAAACCAGTGAGAAAGGGAGTCTCTTTACAGTACTCCCAGGGACTGAAATTATTTCTAGGTTCCCACTTTTTGAGCATCAGCAATCTTCACACTTTTTGGACCATGGCCCGCAGTGAGAAATGCATTGTGACGCCCTACCCCCTATATAGTAGCTGAAATGAGTCTTTTCCCTACAATGCAAATGGCACTCTGAGCATTTTGATTCTATTCTGTTCCATTCTACTCCATAAAAAATGCTGGTTGAGGCTCACTAAATTGACCTTACAGGTTGAAAAACACTATAGACAGTAATTGACTTTCTTGGTTGGAATCCAGCCAGTTAAAAAAATTTTTTAATTACATGATGAGAGAGCTAAGTAGAAACCAACCTACTTATCAATTCAACAACCAACATTTCAGGAACTGGCCTCCACCTTCTCTGCTCCCCTGCCCTCTTCCCCACCACTGCCTTTTAGCTGAAGTTCCTACTAGGAACCCTGGGAGTGGAGAAGGGGACTTACCTTACCCTGAGCAGCTCACAAGTCCACCTTGTGGTTCAAGGGAGACATTTGTACCACAAAAGGAATTCAGTCATTAAAAATGTGTCGTTGAAGGTGAGCTTCTCTGGATCAGGGGCCATCATTGAAGTATCTTTGAGTATATACAGCCTGGGATATTCTTGTTTAGAGTGAGTGTGCAGTTGCTAAGAGAATGGAACATGCTAGCTAAAAGAATCAATGATTTAAAACACTGATGCAAAATGACTCCAATGTCTGATGTATGTTTAGTATGCTGGGATCATCCTTTTAAGATGTAAAAATCTATGGGACTGGATGTAGCTGTTTTCTGCTCCATAAAAGAACTGCTCTGTGGAAGCACATACTCATATGTTTTTAGACGATACTAGCACAGATCCAGAAGTCCCTGGGAAGTGAGAATGGTTAGCATGCGAGGCTGCTAACTCAACAGTTGGATGCCTTGGAAGACAGCCCTGGTGACTTGCTTCTGAAAACAAGTGATTGAAATCTCTATGGGATACAGTTCTGCTCTGACCCACACGGGGCTGCCGTGAGTTGGAATCAAATCCACAGCAACTGGTAGTGGCAGACATAGACTCTTTCTCAGTGCTCACACTGGTAGGTTGTTGTTGTTAAGTGCCACTGAGTTGGTTATGACTCATAGCGACCCTATGTAGGGTTTCTGAGGAATGGCTGGTGGATTTGAACTGCTGACCTTGTTTCACAGTCCAGTGCCAATCCTACAGTGCCACTCCAGCAGGAAGACAGAAAGGCTTTAGAGTATGAATTCTCTCACATTGTGGACCGTGCTCTACAGATGGAGACTGCCCATTTTCCAGTATCATCTCCATTTTCTCCATCAAAAGCTAGTGCTATGTGGAGGAGAACTTCTTGGTGGAGATCAAATCCAAGCTCTTGACACATGGAAATAACACCAGAACGTGAGTTTCCTCAGGGCTTGGTCCTTCCTGTTCCCTCCTCAGTCTCCAGAGTCTCCATCAGTGCCTGGCACACAAGAGAGGTGCCACAAAAAGATTCTGGCTGTCTGGCCCAAACTTAATATAATACCTCAGTTATCTACGATTGAATTAGTAGGTTACCAGTTACCAGCTCTTAGTTAACGCTACATAAAAATGAAAGGTGTGAAATTGCAAATCCTTCATTCAGGAAAAATGAGAGCTCTGTCTTTCTGGATCAGTCTGTGATCTGTCAGAAGGAGCCTAGGAGCTGAGGGTCACTGTTCAAGAGATGTGTGTCTATCAATTTATATTTATAATCCTGAAGTTGGGGATGCCTATGGGAAGCTTTAGTATACTATTTTATTTTATATTTTGCTCATGTGTGGAGATGTTCATAGCACAAACATTTTAGAAATATAATATGAACACATGTGACATATTTCAATGACGAAGACCAACTACAAAGCATTCTTACCCCAGCCACTTTTGCCAGGCGGAGAAAGTTGCCCTGCAAAGATGTTGCCAGCATGTCAGAAGACGACAGAGTCTGCATATCTGCCACACTGTATGTGCCCAGGAGCATATGGTATCTAAAACAACAGTCCACAAAGGGTGTAATCAAACATCAATGCAAGAGGGAGGAACACTGGGGACCACAGAGCACAAGCTCTGGGCTGATTTCTTGTTGTTTCTAAGTGCCATTGAGTCCGTTCTGACTTATAGAGAGACCCTCTGTAGGATTTCTGGGGAGCGGCTGGTGAGTTTGAACCGCCAACCTTGTGGTTCCAACTGCCCTTGTGGTCCAGTGCTTATTCTACAGCACTACACCAGGACCCCAGAGCTAGACTGAAAGGTTCAAATTCTGCTCCTGTAATGATCCTGGTGTGGCCCTATAGGATAGGCACTCAACAGCAAGGTCAACAGTTCAAACTCACAAGCCACTCCTTGGAAACTCTATACAGGGTTGCTATGAATCAGAACCGAGACTCAATGGCACTTAACAACAACAATGATCAGCCACGGCACTTTTGGGTAGTTACTTAATCACACTGTCCTTACTTTTCACATCTGCCAAACGGAATTCTTATAATATGAATCTCATAGAGTTGTAGGGAAGATTAACTGAGTTATATGTGCAGCACTTAGAACAGTCTTTGCCAAAGAGTTGGCTGTCAGTTGCACTAACTGTTAACTATTCCTATCCTGGGGGAGAGAGGAGTCCTGGAACATGCTCATTTCTGTGGATTTGTAGGGCCACATGGCTTCCCTACATTGTGTTTTAAGATATGTTCACACTGATGTCAGTAAAAGATCCTGAAGAATAGAATAGATGATACCTACTTTATTAGGGCTGGAATATTGCTGTTTGACAACCAAAAGGTTTTATCATCTGAGTCCATATTCTGAATAGCTTGTTTCGAAGGCACGAGGACAGTAAGGTTTGAGGTGGCTGACAGCACAGGCCGTAGAGAAGCGTCCTGAATCACAGAAGGAAAGAATAAACTGATCCATTTTAGGGTCAGACAGGACTGACATAAAGCCTGGTAGAGATGATAGTTTCCTGTGTGATGTTATTTCAGGGATTTGGGGAGGATCCTAGAGACACCCTCCTCAACTCACCCACTGACTGATGTTTCATATTTCCCCCTGAAACTTAGTATTTTTATTTAAACATAAGAGTCAGGTCAAAATGTAACCTTTTCTGATTAAGTCACACTTTTCAGTAGTGAACAGTTATTTACACTTTAGTCTAAATGAAGAACCAGAGAACAGTCATAATAAAATTGTATTCATGTATACGCATGTGCAGAAGATGTTGGGAATTCTTGGCTACTGTTGGTGTAAGGATGATGGGAAGATTGTGTGAACAATTTCAGCATGGGAGAGAGCTAGGAGGCCTAAAATAGAATTTGATCTAGGTTTCACTTTTGCCTAGACATGGTTCTAGGTAGATGTAATGACATGCTGATAAACGTTGAGCAACTGGCTCTCAGGGGGAAGGAGAAGCAGACCCTGATTTGTAGTACTTGATCATTTCTGTAGTGTAAATATTTCCCCCACAGCTGATTTTAAGTTACTCAAACAATGGTACTGAAAATGGAGTTGGGATAAAATGGTACCACCAATTCTCATGAGGTAGTCCAAGCTGGCTACTGCTTACCACTGGACAATCTTATGCTTATGGGTGAAGACCAAGCATGATCAGGTTAGATGGAAATCGGTATGCTCAAGGGAAAAGTTTCAGTCCCATCTCTTGTCTATGTGTGTGTGTGGGTGGTCAGAGAGGCCCGTATGGAAGTCTGGGAGGTGACCTAGAGTGGCTGCTGACCACATCAGACCTGTTTTGTCATGTACCCATTCAGAAATCATAAACCATTTGCTGCGATGACTGACCAAACCAGTCATCTTGGTTCATTGATCCCGAGAGGATAGAGAGCCAGATCACTGGGCAGTGTGATGATGGATTCTTTGTTAGAATTCTTTCTGGGGGGTGAAGTATACACCGTCCAGGGCACGATGAGCTGACAGCTAAGCACGAAGTACTCTGGATTGCAAACATATGAGGGGGCTTCAAAACAGTTCATGGAAAAATTCCATTCTCTTTCATTCCAGTTTTCCATGACCTTTTTGAAGCCATCTCATACATCCAAAACTAACTTGGTGAATTGCAATGATGAATTATATTAAAAAAAAAAAAAAAAAAAGACTTCTGTAATGAATGAAGGTGCTCATCTCATACTTGAATTGGTTGAAAAGCTGACCACCTTAGATTATCCTAGACTGACATTTTCAACTGTGATTGTCTGGAAAGCTTTTGAAATATACTGATGTCCAGGCCCAAATCAGAATCTCTTGGGAGGAAGCCTAGGGATGGATATTGTATACTGTGGTCCAGGTGTGATTGTTAAGTGTGGCCAGCACCAAGAGCCACAGTCCCTTCTCCACCCTTACCCACTGCACTTTCAGTTTTCTATTACATATATTCCAAATTTCTAAAATGATATACATTCCCAATGATAAATTCCAACAAAGGTACTCACAGTTATCCACTGGTTAAATATAGCTGCCTCAGAGAGAAATGACAATTCCTTATTCATATTGTGCAGGAGGAGACAGGAGAGAAAACACAAGACAGGGACCAATGAGAAGATAATCACAGTGCCTTTCTGGGGAGCCTGCACTGACCCTTCCTGGGGTCGGGTTACTTTCTCTGGGGCAGGCCAACCTCCCTGATACCCAGCTAGCTGAATTCCCATGTTGCTAGAACTGTGCAATTCTTTCATGCTTAGGAGGTTCTACTATCTTCTATATTTGAAGTGAAAGTAATTCCAGAAAGTTCAAATGAAAGAACAACCTGCAGTCCTCCGGAGTTGGAATTTAGCTTGTGAGAACATGGCAGCCTGCCCACCCAGCCTGTGTCTCTTTGCAGTCTATTTCATGGCTCATAGTTTTTGCATTTTTGTTGGTAATATCACTGTTTCAAATGCCCCCTCCACACATTGTTGTCTGGTGTTGGTAAGCACAAGAAGGCTGTGATGTGCTTTATGGAGAAAATATACGTGTTAGATAAGCTTTGTTCAGGCATGCATTATAGTGCCCTTAGTTGTGAGTTTGATGTTAATGAATCCACAGTACTTACTAAATAAGGTGTCTTTAAACAGAAATACACATAAGACAAGAATATGTATTAATCATTTGATGAAAATGTTGTGATCAGAGACTTTCAGAAACCTAACCCTGTATTTCCTCTGGAACAATGGTTTGGTATTTGCTAAATCCGTGAGGTCATAGAACATAACTTCCACCAATGATGAGAGTTGGTTGTATTTTATTCCTCAACCCACCAAGTATTGATAAACACTCGATCAGGCACTGGGAGTGAAACAGGAAGCAATTCAAAGATCTGGTCTGAAGGAACTTGCAGTCCAGTGGTGGGGGAGACAGAAAAGTACAAGCAATGGTGATTTGCTATCACACGTCCTGTACCGATAGAATACACTGGTGCTGGAGGGTTTGGGCTTTGCACTAAGTGGGCTACATGTTGGATTCCTCACTCTGATGCTGAAAGACCTTCAGCAAGTTTGTGTAACCCCTCAGTTTCTATATCTACAAAGTGGGCATGATAATAACACCAACCTCAGAGGGTGTTGTGAGGTTTAAATGTATTCAAAGGGCTTATATAAGATGCTTGGTACATAGAAAGCTTTCACACACCCACACCCACATCTACACACACCAGGTAGGGATAAGCTCAGGGTGTTCTCGGTTTCCATAGGAGGCTTACAACCCAAACAGGAGCACCTAGAGAGTTCAGCGGAGCATTAGGAAAACTTGGGAATAGAAAGAAGTAGAATGGCAAGAATGGACAATTAAAACTAAATGAACTGCTTGGCACATAGTAGGCACTCAGCAACAGCCAGCAATCCCCTGCCAGCCTGCAAGAATTTGTGAGGCGCAGAACACGCATGTCACCTTCGAGAGGCTTCCTATAGAATCTCCCAGAGAAAATGATTCAGAGAACATTCTCAAGCCATCTTGGTTAAATGCCATGGATTGAATTGTGTTACCCCCCAAAGGAGTCCTGGTGTGGCATTGTAGGATAAGCACTGGACTGTAAGGTTGATTTGAACCACAAGGTGGAGGTTCAAATCCACCAGCTGCTCCTTGGAAACCCTATACAGGGTCATATGTGTTGAACCCCAATGAGTCATATGTGTTGAACGCTCACTCCTTTACTTGTATGAGTCCCATTTGGGAATAAGGTTTTCTTTGTTATGTTAATGGGGTCATATCAGTGTTGATTGTGCCCTAAATCATATCACTTCTGAGATATAAGGAGAGCAGTTTAGACACAAAAGGAAGCACAGCCAAGGGCAGATAGGTGCCAAGTGAGGATCGATGGCCAAGGGAGTGATAAATGTTGGTGCTGAGGAAGCTGAAAGAGACAAGGATCTTCCCTCAGAACTGACAGGGGGTGGAGGGAGGGAAGTAGGGAGAGAGAGTGCGTCTTCCCCTGAAGCTAATGCTCTGAGTTCAGACTTCTCTAGTTGTTGCTGTGGTTGTTAAGTTCCTTCGAGTCAGTTCTGACTCATAGTGACTCTGTATAGGGTTTCCCAGGAGTGGCTGGTGAATTTGAACCACTGACTTTGTGGTTCAAACTGACCTTGCGGTCCTGTGCTTTATCCCACACCAGTTAGTCTCCTAAATTGTTAGAAAATATATTTCTGTTCTTGAAAGTCACCCACTTGTGGAATTTGGTTACAGTGACGCTAGGACACTAAGTCAGCCATTCTCCCCTCAGTTTGTCTTGGATGACTTACCACGTCTGCATTCCCATAACACAGAAGACCATCTCCCTCATAGCCTTCTCCACAAACACAGCTCCAGACACTGCCGCCCGAGGAAGTAGGCTGGCAAGAGGCCTGATAAACGGAAGATAGAAGAACGGGTTGCTTTCCTGCTCAAGACTTAGCTATGCACTACATTCAGGAGACAACAGATCCCATCTAAGATGAGAAGTGTACCTTTTAACCCACAGGCCTTCCAGTGTCGCCATGCTATGCACTAGTCTACACATTTAGGGAACACTGATTTAGATCACATTAGATTCTTCTTATCCCCTGCCAGATGTTCACAAATGAAACTACAGAACATCTAGTTAAATGTGAATTTAAGACAAATGATGAGTAATTTTGAATACAGTATGTGTCTTGCAAGGAGCTCTGGTAGCGTAGTGGTTACGAATTGGGCTGTGAATCGCAAGGTCAGCAGTTCGAAACTATCAGCTGTTCGCCAGAGAAAGATGAGGCTTTCTGCTCCTGTAAAGATTTACAGCTTCAGAAACCCTGTACAGGGTCGCTGTGAGTTGGAACCGACTTCACAGCACATAACCAACCAACCAACAGCATGCAATATTTAGGGTCTAACTTGTTCTGAAATTAAAATTGAACAGGGCATTGTTTATTTTACCTGGAAATCATGATGTTGCTTCTCTAAGTTTTAGAATAGGGTGAAAATGACAGTGAACACACATAGTCTACTTAGGGACTTCCTTTAGGGAATAGGAAAGATTTTGGCTCATTACTATGCCCAGAAAAGAAATAAACTGTCTTTAGTTCTCAAACAATTTTTTTTTTCAATAAAGGGAAAAAAACAAATCCAGTAACTCACCAGAGGGTGACATTTCCCAGTTAGTTCTAAGCAAGAAGTCATTGGCTCACAGTCAACTCCGTTGCCTCGGAATCCTTTCTTGCACTCACACTCATTCTATAATTCCAAGAAGAGAACAACAGGGGACCTTTGAAAACCAGTGCTTTCTACATCTTGCTCTCAATAGCATTGAAACATGTATGCATGGCAGCCGTACAGCTGTTCTGCCCACCCCGAGAACAGTGTTAATGCCTGTTGTTGGTCACATATTCCATAGCACATCTTCTAATCCTGCACTTCCTTGGTACTTTGCTTCTGAAATGACTATCCTGTTGTTGTGTGTATCACTGCATCAATTCCAACACATAATGACCCTACATGTCAGAGGAGAACGGCCCCATATGGGCTTTCTCAGCTGTAATCCTCATGGAGTTCTGGTGTGGTGCTGTGGGTTAATGCTCTGGACTGCAAGGTCAGCTTGATCTACAAGGTTGGAGGTTCAAGCTCATCAGCCGCTCCTCGGAAATCAGGGTCGCTATGAGTTGGAATCAACTCGACGGCACTTAACAACAACAACAACAATCCTATAGAAGTACACCTCCAGGTCTACTGGGTGGGTCCGAACTGCCTCTCTTCTGGTTAGCAGCTGAGCACTTAACCACTGTGCCACTAGGGCTCATTTCATAATATTGTTGCTGTTAAGTGCTGCTGAATCAGTTCCAACCCATAGCAACCCTCTATAGGGTTTCCAAGGAGCAGCTCGTGAGTTTGAACTTTGCAGTCAAATGATTTTGCAGTCTGACGCATTAGCCCACAGTGCCACACCAGGACTCCTTTCATTATACTAGAAGGTCCTATATAGGGATCATCTGAGACAGAACACAGACCCTAAAATCTGACCCATCTCCATGCACAGGGCACCTTGTGCCATTCAGAAAAGTCATCAACTATGGTTAGATGGGCGTCCCTGGTGGTGCAAATGGTTGGCACAGGGTACTTTGACACACATGGAGTGTCTACGAGTCACAGTAGACTGGACACCCACAAGCTTGGTTTTATGGTTGGATGAATTTGAGTAGGGCATAACCCCTGCACAAACAGGCCACGGACATGTGGCTTGGAAAGTGGACAGCACCTTCATGCAACAGAACAGTGTCTCTTCCAATGGGTGGTTTTAGCTTTGCATCAGTGTGTGTGTGTGTGCCTGGTGAGCAGGGCCCCAACTGGACATCAGTCTCCATTTGCCTCCTTGCCTGGGCACTTTGTGCTGTGGCCCTGATCATGCAGGTACTAGGAATGATGATGACGATGACAGATTGTGTAATAAGACAGGGGAAATGTGTACATCAAGTACAAAGTTAGTACGTGCCATTGAGTCGGTTCCAACTCATAGTGACCCTTTATAGGGTTTCTGAGGAGAAGCTGATGGGTTTGAACTACTACCCTTGTGGTTCAAAGTGCAGTGCTGATCCTACAGTGCTACACCAGGAGCCCAAATACAAAGTGGAAACCAACAAAACTGAATTATTGATGACAATAATGTAAAGAAAAATAACCTATGCACACGCTACTGCATGAATGAACTTTGAAAACATTGTTAAGTGCCGTCGAGTCAGTTCTGATGCATAGCAACCCTCTCTAGTGTTTCTGAGGAGCAGCTGGTGGGTTTGAGGCTGATCTTGAGGTTCAAGCTGACCATGTGGTCCAGTGCAGTATCCTGCATCATATCCATAACAAGACTCTTGAAAGCATTACATTGAAAGAAATAACTCAATTGCAAAAGGACACATTGTTTGATTCCACCTATATAAAATATCTAGAATAGGCAAGTGCATAGTGACCAAAGTTTACTAGTGGCTAACTGGTGTGGCACTGTAGGATATGCACTGGATTTCTAACTGAAAGACAGGAGTTTCAAATCCACCAGTCATTCGTCAGAAACCCTTTATAGGGTTGCTATGAGTCGGAACTGACTCAATGGCACTTAACACTAACAGCAACCAGGGCAGGAGGAAGGAGGACATGAGGAGATATTGCTTAAGGAATGATGAAAGGTTCTTGATAAGGGTTATTAAAAACTTTTAGAAATAGATAGTGGTGATGGTTGTACAATATAACCTAAAATCTACTGCCATCAAATCATCTCTGACTCAGAACAACCCTAGTGGTGAACATAATTGGTGTCACTGAATTGTAAACGTAAAAATGGCAGAAATGGCAAAAGTATTCTTATATATGTTGTTGTTATTAAGTGCTGTCGAGTTGGTTCCAACTCATAACAGCCCTGAATAGGGTTTCCAAGGAGTGGCTGGTTGAACTGCCAACCCAGCAGTTCAAACTGACTTTCAGTCCATCACATTGGTCCACAGTGCTACACCAGGACTTATTTCTTATATGTATTTCACCAAATTATAAAAACAAAACAAAACAAAATACCTATAAATAAAAAAAATTAAAAAAAAGAAGAAAAAAAGATACCAGCATAGAAATGATTGTGGGGGCACTGTGATTGATTTACATTTCCCCCTGCCCTTTTGTTTTCTAAATTTCTTCCACTATCAGGACTTATTTTAAAATTCAAAACAAAATTACACAGGAATAACCTCTTCAACTGGTAGAATGTAGACCTACATTCTTTTTGATTGCATAATAATTAGGGAACCAGTAAGAACCCAGTTGTCTGTAAGTTTGTTATACTGTGGCGGTTTGCATGTTACTGTGCGGCCAAAAGAACCAACAGATCTGTGTTGGAAGATGTACAGCCAGAGTGCTCCTTGGAGGCCAGGATGGTGAGACTTTGTCTCCCGTACTTTGGGCATATTATCAGTTCCTGGAGCAGGATATCATGTTTGGTAGAGTGGAAGGTCAGAGAAGAAGAGGAAGACCCCCAGGGAGCTGGATCGGCACGGTGGTAGCAGCACTGGAGGCAAGTGTAGTAATGACTGTGAGGTTGGCACAGGACTGGGCAGTGTTTCATACCGTTGTGCTAGGGTTGCTATGAGTCAATACCGACTCGATGGCACCACCAACAACCAACTTCTCCAGTCTGAAATTGATCAACTATGTAATCAAGATGTAGTAATAATAACTGGTGATTGGGAGGCAAAGGTTGGAAACAAAGAGGAAGGATCAGTAGTTGGAAAACATGACCTTGGTGATAGAAAATGATGCTGGAGATTACATGATAGAGTTTTGCAAGATCAATGAATTACTCATTGCAAATATTTTTTATAAACACTATAAACGATGACTGTATGCATGTACCTCCCAGATGGCATACACAGAAATCAAACTGACTACATATGTGGGAAGAGAAAGTGGAAAAGCTCATATCATCAGCCAAAACAAGGACAGAGGCAGACTGTGGAACAGACCACCCATTGTTCATATGTAAGTTCAGGCTGAAGTTGAAGAATATTAAAACAAGTCCACTAGAGCTAACATCTGACATTGAATATGTTGTTGTTAGTCGTCATCAAGTAGGGACCGCTGATGCTTGGTCCTGCACCGATCTCACAATTGTTGCTACTCTTGAGACCACTGTTGCTTCCAGTGTTTCACCATCTTGTTGGGTGGCTTCTTCTGTTTTCATTGACCCTGTACTTTACCAAGCATGATGTCCTTCTCTAGAGGCTGGTCTCTCCTGATAATATGTCTGAAGTATTACAGATCAAATCTTACTACCCTGGCTTCTAAGGAACATTCTGGCTGTACTTCTGCCCACATAGATCTGTTTGTTCTTTTGGCAGTCCATGGTACTTTCAATATTCTCCTCAACATCATAACTCAAATGCGTCAATTCTTTTATGGACTTCCTTACTCACTGTCTAACTTTTATATGAGTCTATTGAAAATTCTATGACCTTAGTCCTCAAGCTGATATCTTTGCTCTTCAACACTTTAAAGAGATTTTGTGTAGCAGATTTGCCTAATGCAATACGTCATTTGATTTCTTGACTGCTGCTTCCATGAGTGCTGATGGTTGATCCAACCAAAATGAAGTCTTTTAGAAATTCAACCTTTTCTCCATTTATCTTGATTTTTTTTTTTTTATTGGTCCAGTGGTGAAGATTTCTGTTTTCTTTATATTGTGGTGCAACTCATATCGTAGGCTGTGGTTTTTGATCTCTGAATAGATCCCACCTGAAATTAGCATTATACACTAATGATCATAGTTGATGCATTATACATTAATGATCAAAGACCAGAAGAGTTGTGGATGACATCAAGAACACCCTACAGCAAGAAAGCAAAGGGTCATTAAGAAGACACTGAAACTTGCTCTCCAGCATTGAGATGCTAAAGCAAATAGAAGAAATGAGGAAGTTAAAGAGCTGAACAGAAAATCTCAGGGCAGTTCAAGAAAATAAAGTTCATTATTATAATGAAATGTACAAAGACCTGGAGTTAGAAAACTAAAAGGGAAGAATAAGCTCTGCATTTCCTCAAGCTGAAAGAACTGAAGAAAATATTCATGCCTCGCCTTGCAATACTGAAGAATTTTATGCATAAAATATTGAATGTTGCCAAAAGCGTCAAAAGAAGATAGAAGAAATACAATCAGTCACTATACTATGTGCAACCATTTCAAGATATAGAATATTATCAAAAGTCAATGGTACTGAAGGAAGAAGCCCATGGTACATTGAAGGCATTGGTAAAGAACAAGGCTCCAGGAATTGATGGAATACAAACTGAAATCTTTCAACATGCTGATGCAGCATGGGAAGCACTCACTCAGATATTTTAAGAAATTTGGAAGACCAACAAATTGAAAGAGATCCATATTTATGCCCATTCCAAAGAGATGTGATTCGGGGAATGTGGAAATCATCAAACAATGTCATTCATATGACATGAAAGTAAAATTTTGCTAAAGATAATAAAAATTGGCTTCCAACAGTACATTGACAGGCAACTGCCAGATATTAAAGCCAGATTCAGAGAAGAATATTGTATTAGGGATATCATTGTTGACATCAAGTAGATCTTGGCAGAAAGCAGAGAATACCAGACAGATTCTACTTGTGCTTTATGAACTATGCATGTGGATCATGACAAGGTATGGATAACATTGTGAAGAATACGTATTCCAGAACATTTCATTGAGTTCATACAGAACCTGTACACAGACCAAGAGGCAGTAGTTTAAACAAAATAAGGGGACACTGAATGGTTAAAAATCAGAAAATGTGTGTGCCATGGTTGTACTCTTTCACCATATTATTCAGTCTGTATGCTGAGTAGATCATCCAAGAACCTGGATTATATGGAAAAAAAAAAAAAAAAAGTGACATCAGGACTGGAAGAAGACTCATTGACAACCTGCAACTTGTAGATGATATAATCTTGCTTGCTAAAAGTGAAGAGGACTTAAAATACTGATGAAGACCAAAGATCATGACCTTCAGTATGGATTGCACCTCAATGTAAAGAAAACAAAAGTCCTCTCTAGTGGACTAATAAATAACATCATGATAAATGGAGAAGATATTGAAGTTGTCAAAGACTTCATTTTGCTAGTATCTGCCATCAACACTCTTTGAAGCAGCAGTCAAGAAATCAAATGATGTTTTGCATTAGGCAAATCTGTTGCAAAATACCGTTTTCAACTGTTTAAGAGCAAAGATGTCAGTTTGAGGACTAAAGTGCATCTACCCTAAGCCTCGGTATTTTCAATTGTCTCATATGCATATGAAAGTAGGAAAATGAATAAGGAAGTCTGTAAAGGAATTGATACAACCGAGTTATGGTTTTGGAGAAGACTATGGTTTTACCAGAAGAACAAACAAGTCTGTGTTGGAAGAAGCACAGCTTGAATGTTCCTTAGAAGCCAGGATACTCAAGACTTTGTCTTTCATATGTTGGACATATTATCAGGAGGGATCAGTACCTGGAATAAGACATCATGCTAGGTAAAGTTGAAGGTGAGCCCCAAAGAGGAAGATCCTCAATGAGACGGACTGGCACGGTGGCAGCAACAATGGCCTCAAGCATGACAATGATTGTGAGGATGGTGCAGGACTGGGCATGGCTTTATTCATTTGTGCATAAGGTCACTATGAGTTGGAATCCACTCAATAGCACCTAACAACAACAGCTTTTTTCTGCCCAGTCTCCGTTAAGTGGAGTGAATGCTCATCCAAGTGACTGGTGAAGGACAGATCGCTACAGAAACATGGGTGTGGTCCAGATTGGTGATTAAGCATGCATCCCTAGACTCAGACTCTGTTGTCAGCCACTCTGCACAAAATTCTTGTCTTATGATTTATCTGTATGACCTGGGCTGATTACTTAACCTCTCTATGCCTCTGTTTCCTCTTCTTTTTAAATCCAAATCGCTGCTGACTCCATTCCAATTTGTGAACTCATGGTAACCCCATGAGTAGAACTGCTCTATAGAGTTTTTTTCTGTTGTTTTTGCCTTTTTAGTTGGCTCCAACTCATAGCCACCCTCTAGGTCAGGGTAGAATTGCCCAATAGAGTTTCTAATGCTATAAATCTTTATAGAAACACACTGCCTCATCTTCCTCCTACAGAGTGAACGGTGAGTTTGAACCTGTGTCACCAAGATTCTTTCACAAAATCATATCTCCAGACCTTTCTACTGCCACATTGCTGGGTGCCTTGGAACTACCAACCTTTAGGTTAATTGTCAAGCTAAAGCCATTTGTATCACTTAGGGATCTCCCTTTTCATAAGGTGGTACTATAGAATAACCACAGACTTTTGGTGTGGCGTTGCCGGTAAATGCAGTAAACTGCAATTTCGGTGTGGGCCATTAAGGCCTGCAGTTCTAACTCACCAGCTGCTCCTTGGATCCTGACTCAATGGAACTTAGCAACATAGAATAACCACAGTACTGCCAACTGCAAGACTGATGGTCCAAACCCACCAGCTGCTTCCTAGAAACCCTTTTCAGGGTGCTATGGGTTAGAACTGATTCCATGGCACTTACCACCACTACCACCACCATAGGTTTGTTGTGACAATTAACAAACTATTCTTTTTACTATAAATGATTAAACAGACAAACGGCAATAAGTTCTAGCCCAAATGCTCTGTGTCTAGTTGGGGGAAAGTCACTGCAACAAACTGGCTTCCTCCTTGCCTTTGACCACAGCATACTTACCTGCCCAGGGCCTATGTACAAACAGGTAGCATTGCTGTGACAGCCCCCAGCGCTGGGCAGCAGGCAGTTGTTGATCTCTGAGCAGTCTCTCCCATTCCCCGTCCATCCCGGCTGGCACACACAGGTGTGGGTCCCCGGGCCAGTTTTGATGCATTCTGCCTGTGGGGGAATAAGACAGCAAGCCTGTGACACCTTAGTCCTGCCATATGACTCCACAAGGAAAAAGGATTTCTAGAGGTGCAGTCTTATTGTTTAGTGCTGTTGAGTCAGTTCTGATTCACAGTGACCCTGTATAGGGTTTCTGAGGAGTGGTTGGTGGGTTTGAACTGCTGACCTTGAAGCTCAAACCGACCTTAAGGTCTAGTGCTGATCCTACAGCGCCACACCAGGACTGCAGACGTGCATTCTAGAAACTCTGATTTCCATAGAGCCAGTGGAAATGACTGGGATACATCTTTGCTTTGAAGTAAAGGGAAAACTTTCGATGATTTGAAAGAGCAAAACTATTGGGAGTTGACCAGCTAGTGACTGATATTACTAATACCATCATGTCATTTACAGAGCCGGGAGTGGTTGTTGATGTGTTACAGGAGTAAACAATCTATTTTATAGCTAAGGACACTAAGACTCAGAGTAGTTAAGGAACTTGCCTGAGGTCACAAAGCTACAGAGAAGCAGAAAACCAGGTCTGTTGTTGTTGTTAGGTGCCATCGAGTCAATACCGACTCATTGCGACCTTATGCACAGCAGAATGAAACACTGCCTGATCATGGGCCAACCTCACAATTGTTGCCTTGCTTGAGCCCATTGAAACTGCGCCACTTTGCCAATCCAACTTGCTGGGGTCTTCTTTTTCTCTGACCCTCCACCTTACCAAACATAATATCCTTCTCCAGCAACTGGTCCCTCCTAACAATATGTCTGAAGTATGAGAGACAAAGTTTGGCCATCCTGGCCTCCAACGAGCACTCTGGCTATATATGCGTATAAATGGAGTTCTGGTATGGTGCTGTGGGTTAATGCACCAGACTGCAAAGCCATTTGAATTGCAAGGTCAGTGGTTCAAGCTCACCAGCTGCTCCTTGGAAATCCTATACAGGGTCACTATGGGTCAGAACTGACGCGATGGCACTTAAAAACAACATATGAGTATAATGTCAGGGCCCAAGTTCCTAACCATGCTCTCAAGATGACCACACTGGGGGCTGAAGGACAAGGGGAGGAGAGACAAATTGTGATAAAAGGCTGTCTGAGGTAAGCTAACCTGAGGGGAGCATGGTGGGCTGTTGCTATTGTTGTTTAGTGCCATCTAGTTGGTTCTGACTCATAGTGACCCTATGTAGGGTGTCTGAGGACAGCTGGTAGGTTTGAACCACCAACCTTGTAGCCAGTGCTTTATCCTATAGCATCACCACACCAGGACTCCTGGTGGGCTAGGTTAAGGTATTAGAGTCTAGATTCTATCCTTAGAGCCAGGGGAAGTTACTGAAGGGGCTTACAAGAACAAAACTAAAGAAAACAACAACACCCCCCCCCACAAATAACAACAACAAAAACAAATAAAACATCTACGCCTACTGCCATTGAGTCAATTCAGACACATAGGATCCTATATAGGATTTCCAATGTAAATCTTCATGGAAACAGAAAGCTTCATCTTTCTCCCACAGAAAGTTTGAACTGGATTTGACCTGCCAATCTTACGGTAGGCAGTCCACTTCTTATCCTACATCACCTCCAGCATTCCTTACAGCATTGGCAAAACATGATCTGATTCACTTTGAGCCATTCTGGCTATTCTGTGGACAATGTACTGTAGGGAGGCAAGAGGGGAAGCAGGGAGACTAGTTATTAAACTATAGGTAAAGAATGAAGGTCATAAAAATGGTTAAGTGCTGGATTATGAACGGAAAGGCTGGTAGTTCAAACCCACCCAGAGATGGCTTGGAAATAAGACCTGTAGATTTGCTTCTGAAATGGAAAATCTTCTGGAGCACAGTCAACCCTGCATATGAGGATTGTCATGAGATTAAACTGATTTAGTGTCAACCAGCACCACCTCATATGCATGGGAAAGCTGGACAGTGAATTAAGAAGATCATAGAAGAATAGATGCTTTTGAATTATAGTGTTGGAGGCAAACTTTGAAAGTGCCATGGACTGCCAAAAGAACAAACAGATCTGTATTAGAAGAAGTGCAGCCAGAGTGCTCCTTAGAGGCCAAGATGACCAAACTTCGTCTCTCATGCTTTGGACATATTGTCAGGAGGGACTAGTCGCTGGAGAAGGATATCATGTTTGGTAAGGTAGAGGGTAGAGAAAAAGAAGGAAGACCCCCAGTGAGATGGATTGGCAAAGTGGCACTATCAATGGGCTCAAGCATGGCAACAATTGTGAGGTTGACCCAGGACCGGGCAGTGTTTTGTTCTGTTGTACATAGGATCGCTATGAGTCCATACCGACTCAATGGCAACAAACAACAACCATTATCAACAGAGCCAAGGAGGTGGTGTTATAATATTTGAAAGGCATTCATGAAGGCGATGGTGGGTTCTGGCTACATCCCATAATAGGGCTTAGAGCAAGTCACTTAACCTTCCTAAATCTCAGTTTCAGTAAAATGGGAATAGCAATTATATTTTTCCTTGGCCCAGTGGAAAGAGCAAATGAAATCATGTACATTAAAGTCCCTTGTAAGCTTTTTAAGCTTTTAGTCAACAGTTTATTACTATTATCTTGATATTCGATTTTCAGGCTATGTTTTTAAGAACCCAAAGCCATCTGCACATTTGGAGCTGGGGCGCCCCCTGCAGGTATCAGCAAGAAGAGGCCCACGGAAGGCGCCCCACTGCCATCTTTAAAGGAAGTTCTCCTCAGCATCAAAGGCAAGTGCTGTAAGCCTCTGAGAAGGGAGCAGATGCAGCCTCCCTCAGGATCTTTGCCAAACAGGTAATTTGGAAATAAAGACCAACACTTACATTGTGGCTGCAGCCTCCTGGGGTTAATCCTGCACAGGGATCCATTTCTGTACAGAGGATTCCGTCCCCTTTGTATCCTGCTTTGCAAACACAGCTGCGAAGACAAGGGTTCAAAATCAACCATAGAAATAGAAGCAGCAATCGCCCCTAAATGCGTCAGTCAGACAGGGGTGAACTGGTTCACGGCCAGGTGGCTTGACAGTGTATGATGGAGGTTGGGACACTTCTGGGGTCTGTAGTCAGGGACCTGGCTGGGAGTCCAGGTCTTGCCACTTGACCATCCATTAATCTCTGGGAGGCTTTGTTTCCTAATCTGGAAAATGGGTCTAGTAACTCCACCTTGCTCATGCAGTTGAGGGGAAGATGAAATGAGTTACTGTGTGTGGAGCACTTTGCAGGGCAAGTGGCTCATCATTAAGATTCAGTGATGGCAGCTTCTCTGCTCTTACTGGGCTGGATGTCTTCTGGTTCAGCAGACAGCAGTTCTACTCACTCTTCTGTGAGGCAGCACTTAGAGTCTATAACAGGGGCAGCCAGGTGAAAGCCTTCCCCTGGTCCTTAACTGGAAAAAAGTTTTCCTTTTTTTCCAGATAGAAGGCTCTCAGGTGCCTTATTCTGAGAGCGGACATCATTTCCTCTCAGATTATTCCATTGTGACATCATTTCCTCTCAGATTATTCCATTGTGAAACTATCACTATTAAATGCAGGGGCCATTCATTTGTTTGTTCAACAAATATTTATCGAGTTTCCTGGGATAGGTGCTGGGGGAACCCATCACACTCTCATATAATGATTGCAAATTCTGTTAAAAATAAAATTAATTTTCTTTTATCAGGACTCCCATAGGAACCAAATACAGAACCTGGATGTTGTACCCCAATACTGACTTAGCTAAGGCTGTATCATTTCTATAGATGCATGTCTGTAGTCTACTGTGGATGATTTTAGAGTTTTTAAGGGTGTTGTATTAGGCAAATGTGCTGCATAAGACCTCTGTAAAGTGCTGAAGAGCAAAGATGTCAGATTGAGGCCTAAGGTGCTCCTGACTCAAGCCATGGTCTTTTCAATAACCTCATATGCATGTGAAAGTTAGACAGTGAATAAGGAAGACCGTAGAAGAATTGATGCTTTTGAGTTATGGTGTTGGAGGAGAATATTGAAAGTACCATGGACTGCCAAAAGAATAAATAGATCTGTGTTGGAAGAAATATAGCCAGAGTGCTCCTTGGAAGCCAAGATGGCAGGACCTTGTCTCTCATACTTTGGACATATTATCAGGAGGGACTAGTTTCTGGAGAAGGACATCATGTTTGGTAAAGTGGAGGCTCTGAGAAAAAGAAGACCCCCAGTGAGATGGATTAGCACAGTGGCAGAAGCAGTAGACTCAAGCATAGCAATGATTGTGAGGTTGGTCAAGTACCAGAAGTGTATTGTTTTGTTTTTTGTGCACGGGGTGGCTCTAAGTTGGCACTGACTCAATGGCACCTAACAACAATAACAACAACAAGGGTCATTTTGAGTATATGTGATTTTTGCCTAATGTACCGACATAGAATCTAATAACATTGGAAGATGCATTTCCCTTGTTGCAGTGCAGGGGATAATGTCTCTTCTAGCCAAGTCTTTGTAACTTCCACCAAACAACTATTAACTGATGGGGCTAGGTAATAGCAAGCTGATAGGAATATATGATTCCGTTGTGAATGTTTGTTAACAGAGTTCACTGTGATTGTGAAAGCTTGGCAATCTAACTAGGGGCTCGGTCACACTTGACATCCTGCTGGGTATAAGTTAAGCCATCTTGGTGATGTGAGGGGCTTTGTTCCCTTTGCTTGATTAACTGAGCTTGCCTCCCTCTGACCTCTGGCCTTGTGAGTCAACAGCCCAATTCTGCGTGAGTGAGGAGACTCTTCCAGACTGACAACTGAACTGTACATTTGTGACATTTCAGCCAACACAACCACATGAGTCATCTCCATGATGGTCCGTGAGTTTTGTGAAATGTTCCAACAAGATGAGGGACCCTGAGATATGGGGGAGAACACTGAGAGGCGGAGAGGTTGGTATCAGGGATTATGGAGCAGTGTAGCATGATTTCCTTAACTTCTACCTCATAGGGATCAGCCTTGTGCTGCTCCTTCTAAAGCAAGTGATTGCTGCAACCGTACAAATTGAGGGTGGCTGGAAAGACATGATCCCTAATTTCACGTAACCTACAGTCTCCTGGGGGGAGAGGCCAGGAATAAGGAAGCAAATGACTATATGGTTACTAATTAAGAAAAATGGTATGAAAAGCAGCCTCAGTCCATTCATTGCTGCCTAGTTGATTCTGTCTCATAATGGCCATATAAGACCGAATACAACTGCCCAGAGTGTTCCCAAGGCTGTGATCAAACTGTCTCATCTTTCTCCTGTGGAGTGACTGGTGAGTTCAGACCTCAATTAGCTGTCAAATGTTTTAACCACGTCACCCCCAAGCCTCCTTAGAATAACAGTAAACCCCAAACTAAACCCACTGCTGTCAGATGGATGCCAACTCATAGTGCCCTATAGGACAGAGGAGAACTGCTCTATAAGGTTTCTGAGGCTGTCCACCTTTATGGGAGCAGACAGCCTCACTTTTCCAATGGGTGTGAACCATTGGCCTTGTGGTCAGCAACCCAATGCTTACCCTACTGTACCTCCAGGGCTAAGAATAGGGCCCCACATTTTAGATATTTTGGGCACTGCCTAGGGTACTTTGAGTAGTTATGATCTTAGAGATGATTCTCCCAGTGATGCAGAAGTTAAGTGCTCATCTGTTAACCAAAAGATCAGAACCCACCAGTTACTCCAGGGGCGGCAGATGAGGCAGGCTGCTTCTCTAGAGATTTAGAGCCAGGGACACCCTATGGGGGAAGTTCTACCCCATCCTATAGTATTGTTATGCATTGGAATTTACTGGATGACAATAGGTTTGGCTTTTGGGACGGCCTTTGAGCCAGATATTCCTGGAGAGGAAAATTTTATCTGATATCCCTCCCCCCAACGCTACTACATATTTTGACAGTATTAAGGAAACACATAGTGGTTCCATTGAGTTTAGACCCACTATCCTGCAACATCAAGGAGTTCTGATAGCGTAGTGGTTACGAATCGGGCTGCTAATCTCACAGTCAGCAGTTCGAAACTACCAGCTATTCCACAGGAGAAAGATGAGGCTTTCTGCTCCCGTAAAGATTTACAGCCTTGGATACCCTGTACCAGGTCTCTGTGAGTTGGAACCAGCTCCATGGCACATAACAACAACAACAACATCCTGCAAGATGCCTTTATCAGGGGAGTTGTCATTGGGAAGGTTCTTGGGTTTATGTTTTGCTATTAACAGAGATTGGTGGTTCAGATCCACCAGGGTGCTGCGGAAAGCAGGCCTGGTGATTTGTTTCACAAAATTACAGCCACTGAAAACCGTTTGGAGACTAGTTTTACTCTGCAGCACATGGGCTCACCATGACCACTGCACTAGTGTTTGCCGCTGGAAAGTTGGTCTACACATCTTCATTTCCTTCTCATGCATGATGATAATGATCCTAGTTTCCATAACTGGACAACCATTATGGGCTACTTCTGGGGCTGGGTATTTTTGTATTAAGTTTTTCTAACCTCCAGAATTGCTCTGCAAGATGGGGAACTTCATCCATATTATACTGATGAGGAAAGTGAGACCCAGAGAGGTTAAGTAACTTGTCTGAGGTCACGCAGCTGTTAAATTTCAAAGTAAGGAATGCTGAAATTTGAACCCAGCTAAGGTTCTTTCCCACAAGGAGTTCTGGTGTGGTGCTGTGGGTTAATGTGCCAGACTGCATAAGCCATTTGAACTGCAAGGTTGGTGGTTCAAGCTCACCAGCTGCTCCTGAGAAACCCTATATAGCATCGCTATGGGCTGGAACTGACTCAATGGCACTTAACAACAACAGCAAGGTTCTTTACCACAAAGTCACATCATGCACTGAAGAGAACACGGCTGAGTCTACCAAGAGTTGAGGTAAACTTTGTGTCCATGTCCAGGCAGCAGAGTAGCCATGGGCTGTTAAGGGCGGTGTCCTACCTGGCTGTTCCATTGCTGTAGTCACAGGCAGCGTGGATATGACAGAACTGCACATAGGGCCCACAGGCAGAGGTCTGCTTGTCGCAGAACTTTCCAGCGGCCCCGTCTCTGCAAGTACCAGTGAGGCAGGCCCCGTCACTGTCTATCCTGTTGTCACATGTTCCGTGAACACACAGACACGCTGGTAATGGAGGAAGAGGCACAATGTCATGCAGAATAGGAACCTCTTCCTTCACCTCCCCCTCTCCTATCCCAGCAGATCCTGTGAGGAGGCTCGGGCTGCCGTGTCTTAGGGACTCAGATGTTTCTCTCCATGCCTGTCAGGGCCCTTGGGAGCCTGCTTGTCCCACTAAGAATGGGAAGAACTTGTCCAAGGGCTATTGAGATGCACCTGTGTGTGGGGAGGGTGACATGGGGGCATGAAAGAGACCAAGGAACTCAATTCCCAACTACATCGTGGCTAGAGTTTAGTCTAGAAATGTCTCACTATCTCATGGAAACATCCTGGAGTGACTAGAAGTGATTTCTCTGAACCACACAGAGTGTGTTGCTCCAATGTTTGCCCTTCACTTTAGCACAGCCAACCAATGATTACTCCAAACCAAAACCACACTGCCACCGTGTCAATTCTGATGCATAGCAACCCTGTATAGCATTTCCAAGACTGTGAATCCTTATGGGAGAAGAAAGCCTCATCTTTCTCCCACAGAGCAGCTGGTAGGTTTGTACTGCTGATCTTGTTCCTGCCAGTCCAGTGCTTATCCCACAGGGCCACAGGGCCATTATTTTGTTGTCGGCACTGGGCCAGCATTTAACACGTGCCATCTCATGAGTAGTCATCAACTCTGGGAGGTAGGCCCTTTTGTAATCCTCCTCTTCTAGATGAGAAAATGACACCCAGAAAGGTGAAACAGGATGTCCAATTTCTGCCAAATTCCTAAGCAGAGACTCGAACCCTGGCATTCAAAATCCATTGCTGTTAACCTGGTGTGGCCCTGTGGGGTAAGCACTCGACTGCAAAGTTGGTTTGAACCAAAATGTTGGTAGTTCAAACTCACCAGTTGCTCCTCAGAAACCCTATAAAGGGTCGCTAAGAGTTGGAAACAACTCGATGGCACATAACAACAACAACAACTCATATAAATATCATAGATCATCATTCAATTGTTACTTCCACATCCCTATTGTCATTTTGTGGCATTATAGGATAAGCGCTGGACTACTAACCATAAGGTTGGAGGCTCAAACCCACCTATCACTTCTCAGAAACCCTATTCTGGGTCACAGTGCAACTCCACAGCACTTAACAATAACAACAACATTGTCATTCCATGGTGTGGTAATATAAGCATTGGACTCCAAACTGTCAAGTCAGCATTTCAAACCCAGCAGCCGCTCTGAGGGAGGAAGAACAGGCGGAACTTTCTAAATATTCTGTGAGTTTCTTGATATTTAGGTCACTGAACTTAGAACAACAGCAACAGAATATCAATAATAATAAAAATAATAACTAAGATGTTTGGAATACATATTATGTGTTAGATATTGTTCTAATACAAGTGCTTGCCATTGATGACACATACTAAGTCTTCTAGTCGTTACTATCATGATTACCACTTTATTGTTGTTGTTAAGTACCATTGAGTCAGTTCTGACTGATAGAGACCCTGTATAGGGTTTCCAAGTAGTGGCTGGTGAGTTTGAACCGACGACCTTGTGGTCAATACTGATCTCGTGGTGCAGTGCTTATCCTACAGTGCCATACCAGGACTCCTATACACATGAGGAAATAGAAGCTGATGGAAGAGGAGAACTTGTAAGGTAGGGAGCAAGTCGGCTTCTTGATCGCAAACCCACAATCTCTTTAGGTATGTGGGGACAATTTACAAAGAGTGTGGACCCTGGAGCAGCAGAAGCATTGCCCATGGACTTGCGAGAAATGCAAATTCTCAGGCTCCCACCCAGGTCTAGTGACAGAACTTCTGTGAGTGGAGCCCAGCCGAATGGTACATGCTACAGTTTGAGAACTTCTGCTGCAGAAATAGCCCCTGAGTCACTGCTAGAATGGGAGAGAACTGTGGAAGAGAAACTCAAATTCTTGAAAAAACAAAACCAAACCAGACTCCCTGGACTGGTTGAAGACCCTCTGAGACTACTGCCCTGAGATACTTTTTAAACCTTGAACCACAATAAGCCCTTGAGGTCAACCTTGAACTAAATAACAGGCTGGTTCACAAAATAAAGAATGTTGCCCAGGACTACTGTGTTCCTTTTCAAAAAAACCATCTACAGGAGGCCAAATGGTCAACAACGACTTTTAAAACGAAGATGAGAAGGGAAAGGGAAAGGAAGACTTGTTGCCTGGAAACAGAAACACCAGAACTAAAATAGTGGGAGAGTTCACACATTGTGAAGAATGTAATCATGTCACTGATCAGTACATGTAGAAATTGTTCAATGGAAACCTAATCTACTGTGTCACTTTCACCCCAAACACCATAAGATAGTTTTTTAAATAAAGAAAAGAAATACACCATGCAGCTACTGACAACTCTGATAGGAATCACGACAGAAGGTTGTAGACAGAGTAAAAGAAAAACGTAGAACAAAATTCAAATCATCAAAAACATTGGACTTCCTGGTTTGATAGAAATTGGTGGAACCCCTGAAACTATAGACCTTAGATACCCTTAAAACCTGCAACTGCCCACCTGACCTGGCTTCAATGGCTGGATGATCAGAGCTCAACTAGAAGAAGAAGAGGAAAAAAAGAGTAATCAAATACAATTTAATGAACTAGACTGACACCTATGGATGCAGTAGCTCAAAAGAGGGAACAAATCTTTACAGTGAGGATCATTCTCACCCCCTCAATACATAGGGTAGACAGGGATGAGAAACTTGGACATTGGCTACCAAAAATTGGTGGCGGGGAGGCTAAAAGTGACTGGTATACAAGCTTTCAAGGGACTGGCTTTCAAGAACCTAGGAAGCCTAGATCCAGAGGGTGCGGAGAAGGTAGAATCTCCTCTGAGTAGTATCCAATCTGTCTGGGTGGGGCTGATGAAAGGAGATGGGGATAGCACTAATGTGGTAGAATAGTGAATAATTGCTACCAGGACTGAGTGTTAGGGTTGGAAATGTAAAGGTAGATGTTTTGTAGCAAAAGGAGGGGATTGACTTTGCAGTCAATGGGACCATCAAGGGAGAAAAGCGGAGTATGGGATCCTACCTAGAGAGGCAGTGATGCCAGAGATGAAGGCATAGACGATGACATGGAGAGATGGAGCAGCTGAGGACTTTAGACCCAGAGAGGGAGAGGGGCTGTGTGCTGACAACCAGAGGGTAGGCTTGTGGGGGGTACCATTTGGTTGGTTGATGATGTATGGAGGGGATTGTAAACATGGCATTGTAACAATATACAATAGGATGAATGTAAAGCTAATGTTCTCCCATGTAAACTATCACATAATTCACAATAAAACACTAAAACACCCCACAAAACCTGCAATTGAACCCCTGGGTATTACCTTTTAGCCAAACAACAGACAAACCTAGACACTGAACAAATAGCATTCATGAAGAACGAACTCCTCAGAACAATCCTATAATACCAAAAGGGCCCCAAAATAAACTTCAGAGGACAGGAAGGGGCTGGAAAGAACAAATAGAAATGCGGAAGCCAGCGAGGACGGGTGCAGAGCGCTGCGACATTGAGGGGAGGGCAGTTAACGTCATAAAAACAATACATGTATAAACGATTGAATGGGAACTGAATGTACCCTCTAAACATTTACCCAAACCACAAATGTTCTCAAAACAGTGCTGTGACAATGGTGTGAAGCAAGCAGAGTATCACAGGTCACTGGGCTTGTAGCATCAGCTTGCTGCTAAGCAAGCAAGACCCTGGCACTGAGAGGAAGGAAGCGCTGGAGAGGTACTTACTTTTGTCACACCGAGGGCCGTATTTGTTGGGATTGGAGCAGAACTGACACTGAGAGCCTTGGAAACCATGTTCACATATGCACGTCCCATTACCACCGAGGCCATCTGCACACTGAAACAGAAGGGAGCCCGGGGCCATCAGGCCAACACACACTGGTACAGGAGTCCCCGGATGCTTGGGATTCGTGACCTGACTTCTTTAAACTCAGAGTTCACTGCACTAGAAATGACTCTTTGGGACTCTCGGTAGAAAGTGGAGTCATGTTGGCATCAGGTCCCTGGGTGAACAGGCTCTGCTGATAACCCAATGGATGGAGGTTCAAGTCTATCCAGAGTCACCTCAGAAGAAAAACCTGCTGGTCTCCTTCCAAAAGCCTAGCCACTGAAAACGCTATGGAGCACACTTCCTCTGAAATGTGTGAGGTTGTTATGAACTGGAAATCAACAGCGTTGTGAAAACAGTGATGATTTTGGAGATTCCAATCCAGGACTTTGAAGCCACCAGGGAACATCTCAGGGGATTGTAATGGTGAACTGAACCCCTAAGCAGGGCTTAAGGAGGTGTCAGTGGTCGGACACAGGCCTTCAGGAGGACCCCTGGCCCCTCCTCTCCAGACTGTCACTTAATCAAACTGCCAGTATCTTCTCTCCAGGGGTATAACTTTGAGACTCCACCGCCGCAGCCCCAGTGAGGTTAGATTTGTATTCACTGCCATGCTGCGGAGTTGGCCACCAGCCAGTCATCTGCACCAGCTTCACCCCTTCTCCTCACCTACAAGGTGTGCCCACCCCAGTCTGCCCCAGTTTTCCCTTCTCCTTGATAGAGTCACATTTTCAATGTGGATTTTGTAGTTTCCCCCTATGAATCACAGCTGTTTTACTTTTGTCAATTTAGCTCTGGCCACCATGTTCGATGAGTTAATTTTTGGACTTGACATTTTACTAAGTTTTGTAGAGGACTGGCAAAAAGTCATTACTGGGCAGTGCTGTTTTAGTTCCTCAATATCATAAAATCTCCATTCTGGAAAGAATCGTAGAGGCCCCTCGTGGAAGGAAAGGGAAGTCCAGAAAGTCTTGCCTGCTGGGAGCGGTTGAGGGTAGAGGACAGCTTCTATTTGCTGCTTGACACAGTCCAGCAAATAAGAGCCGTCTTGCAAGACAGATAGCTCTCAGAAGTTGCTTTCTACCTTCTCTTTAGAGTAATCTTAAATTTAGTTATAAAAATATATAATTTTGCAATATTCACAGCTTTTCACTAGGAGTTCTACAAACCTTAGGAAAAACTAGCTTAGCAACAATTGCTTTCAGCTTTGGTGGATTGAATACAAAGAGAATTGTGTAAATTACTCCCTTTCATTAGAAAACCTAAGTAACTGCATTTGTGAGGCCACAAAAGCAGATAGCATATTAGAGTCAAGCTGACCTAACCCTATAGGCCTCACCACATTCAGTCACTAGCTAGAATTCACAAACCCCTACATACAAGCACCTGCGTAAACAAGCAGAAAATAATGAACTTAAGTGAAAGATAGTTTTGACTTAATAATCTATACTTCCTGTAGCAATTAGCCAGGTTGTGCTTTATGCCACATAACTTCCAAGCAATTTAATGAATACTTTAGAAAAATAAATAAGTAGATGTTAGTTATACCTTTATTATAAAAATAATAATACATTATGTAAGATAGAAAGATGACAATTAGTAGGAATAATGAGGTAGTGCAAACATTAATGATTAGTAGAAACTTATGTTACTAAGAAAGTGTAATCAGCAGTCTGAGAAGTAGCGATGAATTGTGTAAGGTTTGACTTAATCTTTAAGTGGAAACAAGAAGAAACCGTTTATCACATGCTGAGAAAAGAGGTGAAAGTCAGTTTGAACATCACAAAACTATTTTTGTCAAAGTTGTCTACTGACCAGGTGCAAGAATGTTGTGATTAACTGTGTAATAATTCAAGAAAAGATCAAAGTGTTAATTCATGATGTACTGTGTAGTTTTAAGTATGAAAAAAAAAAAAGACTTGCTGAGCTGGGCTGGCAGAAGTGGCAGAAGCGGCAGAAGGAGGTAGAAGCGGCAGAAGGAGGTAGAAGCAGAGGGCAGAAGCTGGAGAGAAGAGCCAGACAGCACAGCAAGCTGAAAAGCCTCTCAAGTTGTATTCATTTCTCCATCCGCTGATTCCGCGTATTCTCTCATGTCCCACGACCCCCCACGGAGAGCCGGTCTCCCCACACTTGCCAAGTTGCCCATGGTCATGGCAATAGGAGAGCAGAGTCTAACAGCAACATTACCACGCTCTTCTCCCGTCACGTGCCTGGGTCAAGGTTTCTCTACTGCAGACACCTTCTACTCTTTCAGCAACTGCTCTGTTTCTTCTGGAGCTCTTGGGTGGGAGATTCAAGTTTACCTAGAGGTGCCTTGAAATAAAAGCCTGGTGATCTGCTTCTGAAAGATCACAGCTACTAAAGACCCTGTGGAGCATGAGTCTTGTACCACACCCATGGAGTCACAGGGTCACCGTGAGTTGTACCTGATTTTTCTTTTTTTTTTCACTGCTTGGGAATAATGTCTGGCATTCTATTACTTTTTGGTTTAGTAGCTTTAAAAATTACATTTCAATGTGTCTTAGGAAAGGTCATTGTTACCTGTCCATTTCCTGAGCATGGGTTTGAGAAACCTCCTGGGCATTGATTGCAGTCAGGTCCGTAGAAGCCTGGGCAGCACTTGGGGATCTGAGAAACAAGACGATGTTGCCTTTTAGACTCCAAACAGAGCACCAATTCCTCCAAAGAGATCTATTTTAATGCCCATTATTATCATAAGTACTTTTAGCCTCGTTTTAGGAGAACATCTGTCTCTTTGGCTATCAGGGGCCTTGAGAGGTGGCTGTGAGAGCCAGCTGTTCTCATATATCTAGTGAGTGTCTGCCATGGGGCCAGCTGAGCTCTTACAATGTGAACAAGATCAAGGAAGACCCCTTGCTCATGGTCTACATTCAAGGGGGTGGGAACAGACAATAAAGAAGCAAGAAGAAAATAATATCTGAGAGTGCTAAGTGCTGGGAAAACAAAGTATCATAAAAAATTGTTGAAGGTGGGGCAGAGTGTGTGTGTGTGGGGCGGGTTAGGGTGGGGGCACTTTGGATTGGGTAGTTGGGGAAGCCTTCTTGGAGGAGGTGGCATTTTCATAGACTGTTGAAAGGTGAATCCCAAGAAAACCTGGAATCACATTCCCAAGGGAGGGAGCAGCACAGGTGCATTCTGTAAGCTAGGAATGAAGGTGGGAGACAGGCAGAGAGATGGGCAGAAGGTGGGCCATGTGAGGAAGCATCAAGAGGGTAGGTTCCATGCTAAGAGGGGTTGGGGGCTCTGCGAGGGTTTGATGTAAGGAGCAGGGTGACCCGGCCACATAGAAGGAACCTGCGCTCAATTCCCAGCAGGAAGACATTGGCAAGGTCCCACAGTTAAAGTGCGAAGGTGAAGGTGCCTGGAGGCTAAGATTGTGATTCTTGGAGCAGGCCAGCCCAGCTGGCTTCTGCCTGAGCCTGCAGCCTGGCCTCACACACACGCCTCACCTTCACAGTGGCATTGCAGTATCGGGCACAGCCGCTCTTCAGGCTCCTTATTCTGCCGGGGTAGACACAGTTGTGTGTGAACAGCGCCTGGACAAGGGACGAGAAGAAAGGCCTACTGTAGTTTGCACTGCAAGGCCCTTTGGGCATGACTCAGCTTTCCACTTTATCATGGAAAGAACTCCGACCAGGCCAGCCCACTGGAGCCAAGTCCAAGTGTGGTCTGCCCAGCAGCCTTTTAAGTAAGTTAATGCCCCTCTTCACACCTCTGCTTATGGATTGTACAACCCATGGCACAGGTATCTGTATGCTTTCTCCTAGATCTCTGATCAGGGTACCCTTTCCTGTTCACTCCAAATGTAGTCTAACTTCAATGACCAATTCTATGTTCTTCCTATAGAGCAATTTTGGAGGCAGTAAAAAATCTCTCTCTGACTTGTAGAAGTCGTTTTTTGTTGGTGCAACTGTTTAGCACCTTGGCCGTTCAAGTCCCCTCAGAGGTACCTTGGAAGAAAGGCCTGGAAATCTACTTCTGAAAAATCACTCATTGAAATTATTTGTAGCAGAGTTCTACTTTGACCCATGTGGGGTGTCCATGAGTCACAGTTGACTCAGTGGCATCGGGTTAGTTAGAAAAGATCAAGTAAACTTGCAGTACAAGGAAGATCTAAATGCCTCCATTCATGCTCTAGTCCCTGATGCATAACCTAACTCCTGCTGTGGGCTAATGTGCTGTACTGCACAGTTGGTTTGAACTGCAAGGTTGGCAGTACAAGTTCACCAACCACTCCTTAGAAACCCTATATAGGATTAATATGGGTCTGAACTGACTCAATGGTACTTAACAACAACAAAAACAATTATTGAAGGAGAAAAATGAGGCTTTCTGCTCTGGCAAAGATTTAAGAAGCCTCAGAAACCCTATACAGGGTTGGTATGAGTCGGCGCCAACTTGGCAGTACTTCTCAACAACTAATTATCTAGAACTGCCAAGTATACTGGGCACTTACTAAGGACTAGACACATTGACATGAGTTTATCAATCCTCTGAACAATTCCATTTGTGTTTTAAAAATTTTTTATCCTCATGAACTGACCCTATCAAAAACTAAAATTGGCCTCCTTCCAAACTACCACTATTGAGTGCTACTTGTATCAGCTGGAGATTAAAAATCTCTCTCTCTTTTCCCTTGAAACTGTTTACATATCTGAGGCTATCCAGTGTCTGCCCTTGGATTGTGGTGGAAAGGGACAGAGGCTGAACTGTGGGTATCAGGGACTGTTTAGGAAGACAAATTGTGAAGCTGGGAGTGCTTGAGAAAGGGGTCCTATTGACACAAAGTTCAGCTGTTCAAACTCGCCAGCTACTTGGTGGAAGAAAGGTGTGGCAAACTGCTTCTGTAAAGATTCACAGCCTTGTAAACCTCAGGGGGCCACTTCTACTCTGAAGTACAGGGTCTCTATGAGTCAGAATCAACTAGATGGCAGTTGGTTTGGTATTCATTTTGTACTTAAAGGCAGGACGCTTGTTTTCTAACTCCTTTGAAGGACCCATGAAAGAACCTTCCAGACCTAGGAATATCTGTGTAGACCACTAGCTACTCACTTCATAGAAATGGAGATTTCACTTGTGGCATACAGGTGGTGGCATTGTCACCCTCAGAAGGAGGGGAACAAGACAGAGACCAGCCAGAGGGATGGAGTGAGTGTTTCTACTGGACAGTCTAGTGAACACCCCCAGTGAGATGGAGTGACACAGTGGTGACAGCAATGGGCTCAACGTAGCAATGAGTTCGAGGATGGCGCAGAACTGGGTAGTGTTTGTTCTGTCTTATCTATGATCGCTGTGAGTCACAACCTACTCAACAGCAGCTAACGATAACCAGGTGTTAAGGGTGATGATTCCAGGGAGGAGTGAGAGCCAGATGAATAACCATAAAGTCAGAACATATTTTTTCACATTCTGGAACTCTTCTTGTGGTTAAAAACAAAACAAAACAAAACAAAAGGAAGCCTAGAGTATCTGAGCTGCTCTATCTAATCAGGCCAGAAAAGTGAGATTTCCTTCTATTGTTATCCTATAGAGGGTCATACATGCAGGGATCAGAGGGGGGCTTAACAGATTGCAGGGTACATTCCAGCCCTTTCCTTAGCACTCTGGTTAATTAGACCAGGTGTGGACTGTGGGAACCCAGGAGTGACACTCTAGGGGTCTCTTTTGACTCCTACTCATATGTCTGTGTCTCCTGAATTATGCTTCCACCATGACCCCCAACCCCAATCACCAAAAAAAAAAAGAGAGAGAGATGTTGAACTCCATCTGTGAATGTGACCATGTGTGGGGAATTGGGGTCTTTCTTTGATATTATCAGTTAAGTCACACAGGAGCAGGTTGGGTCCTAATCCCTTCTGATAAGTGACGTTTAGATGTTAACAGAACTAGAAACGGAGAAGACACCATGTGGAGACACATCTCCAAGACAAAGGATGCCAAGAGGCTTTAAAAAAATTAGTTATCATTATTCAGAGCAGACAGTAATTCAACAATAACACGAGTTGCATGTCCATTGTCACCTCCTTTTCTGAGTGATTTCTTCCCCATTGACACAAACTCACTGTGCCCAAAAGTTTCTCCCTAATCTTTCCACTTGCTGTTGTCAATTTGAACCCATATATAGCTGAAAAGAGCACAATGCATTTAGGCGGACATTTTTTTTTTTATTATTATTATTTAAGTTAAATACATTTTAAGAAGACTTCAGGAGATTAAATTATATTCTTTTAAACAGAGAAGGTACAAAGGATGAGAAGACACCTCAGTGGAGTTACTTGGATGAACTGTGGTTCATGAAGCTGTCATACTCACTGTGGGCTCAGAGTTAGCTGGACAGATGCTCCAATACACCAGGGAACAGCTCACACAGGTGCTCTGGAAGGAAAGACAGTGGATCAGTGCAAGCGTCCCTGTAAGAAGGAGCAGGGCGACTTCCTGTCCCTGGTCAGATGCTACCCTCCCTGCTGCCATGGAGTTGCTCCTGTTGCATGGTGAACCCCATGCATACAAAGTAGAATTGTTCCTTAGGGCTTTCTTGGCTGTAATCTTTATGAAGCAGATTTCAGGCCTTTCTTTTACAGAGCTACTGGGTGGATTCGAACTGCCAGTCTTTAGTAGTTGATCACAAACCATTTGCATCATTCAGTGCCCACACTAGAGTAATAGACCCAAACAGAACCATCCTACATCATGCAGAACAGATGGATTTGTCTTTAAACCTAAAGAAATTGGGGGGGGGGGGGGGAGGGGGAGATCCCTTATAAGGAGCTATTAGGAAATTCTATTCCTGATCTAACCAACATTCTTTTGGTTCCAGCTCCATCATATCTTGACTGTACCCTTTGGGGAGATGGAGAAAAAGCTTGAACCTGAATCAGAATCAAATGGCAGACTACCCTTGTCTCTTCACAGACCTCCTTCCCCAAACTTCAACAGAGCTGCTTCGGTGGGGAGAGCTCTGAAGAATACTTCTAATTATTGTGTCTCAATCCCTTCCCTTGTATAATGAGCAAATAATCTGAGAAGCTGAACTATATGAAGAATGAGACATCAAGGTTGTAGGAAGATTCTGCAATAACCTACAATATGCCGATGACACAACTTCGCATGCAGAAAGCGAAGAGGACTTGAAACACTTACTGATAAAGAAAAAGATTACAACTTTCAGTATGAATCACAACTCACTAGAGAGAGAAAAAAAATCCTTACAACTAGACCAATAAAGAAAATTATGATAAATGGAGAAAAGATTGAAGTTGTCAAGGATTTCATCTTACTTGGATTCACCATCAATGCTTCTGGAAGCAGCAGTCTAGAAATCAAATGACATATTGCACTGGGCAAATGTGCGGCAAAAGACCTTTTTAAAGTATTGAAGAGCAAGGATGTCACTTTGAGGACTAATGTGTGCCTGGCCCAAGTCATGGTATTTTTAATTGCCTCAATGCACGTGAAAGCTGGATAATGAATAAAGAAGACCAAAGAACAAAGGATGCATTTGATTATGGTGTTGGAGAATATTGAAAGTACCCTGGACTGCCAGAAGAACAAACAGATTTGTCTTGGAAGAAGTGCAGCCAGAATGCTTCTCAGAAACAAGGATGGCAAGACTTCATCTCATGGACTTTGGACATGTGATCAGGAGGGTCTATTCTCCCTGGAGAAGGACATCATGCTTGGTAAAGTAGAGGAAATGACAAAGAGGAAGACCTCTGATGAGATGCATTGGCACCATGGCTGAAACAATGGGCTCAAACATAACAATTGTAAGGATGGCACAGGACCAGACAGTGTTTCATTCAGTTGCACCTAACAACAGCCCCTTCCCTCAGGATCCCTGTGGTGCAGTGGGTTAAGTAATGGGCTGCTAACTTTAAGATTCAAACCAGCTGCTATGCTAAGGTCAGATAAGGCTGGCTGTTGGCTCCCATAAGGAGTTCAGCCTTGAAAATTCAAAGGTGCAGTTCTACTCTGTCCTATCAGATCACCAGAAGTCAGGATCAACTTGATGGCATTGAGTTTTCATCTTTGGGACAGACAATATGACTCTTCTCATCTGGTCTATTCTGATCCTCCCCAGTCAAAGTCAGGTGACTCCTGTGTCAATTAATTCTAAAGGTAATTACTGCCAGAGACTGGCTAGGAACGTGCCTTATATTTCTGCTTCTCTTACTTAACAAAGGCTGTTCAGAATTTAATCACATGCCCCAGATGGTATCTGATGAGCATGAAGAATGTACCATCCTCAAAAGGTTTAAATATATCAGAGTTGTAAAGTATAGGAAAAGATGTCACAGTCATTATATTAAGAAATCTAGAAAGAAAGAAACCAACCATCATATTATATCAGGTGCTTAAACTTTAATTAAGTGCTTAACTTTAGTTAAGCTTTAATTTTAGCCTTTATGATAAGAAGTGGGATTCATGAAAAATAAAATCTATGTAATATACCATCTTTGATGGACAGAACAACTAGAAAGAAATTCAGCAAAGACACAGAAGAACTAAGTAACACAATCAACCAACTTGACCTCATACTGAGCACACAACCCAACAATGGTACAATATACTTTTTTTTTTTT